TGTCACTACACAAAACAAGAACTTTATATCTCGCGCCTCCGAAGAGATTCGGAAAGCCATGGGCATCTTCCAACGATTGTCACCCGGCGCCTTGCCTGCTGCTGCTGGCCGAGAAGCCTGCGGAAACAATGCCATCACTTCTGTTCCGGAGACATCCACTATCCCGGACTCGGCGAGTTTGTGCAGCGAACTTCTCACCTGCATGCGAGAGGAGATGGGTAAAATAAAGAGAGAGCTGACCCGATCCGTACGTGGCGCTTCTACTCCTAATACCGATCTCGCCTCCGACACTGCCGTCGCAGCACAGGCGCCCCGCCCTCGAGGTCCTCAGCCCACCTATGCGCAAGTAGCGGACCTCGGGAGAAAACCCCCAAGTGCACCGAAGAAGACTTCGACCTCGCCACCAGTCACGCGACCCGCCCTTATAGTTACGCCCAAGGTTCAGGCGGAAACTAGGCAAGACGCTATAAATGCGTTCAGACGCAGCATCTCCTTTAAAGAGTGCAACTATGCGCCAGTTAAAGTAATCCCGATATCGCGAGGCAAACTCAGAGTCGAGTTCGACACGGATCGCGAATGCGATGATGTTTTACATCGACTGTCGATCTCCAATGCATCCTGGGTCACTGCTGAAAAATCTCACAAAATCAAGCCAATGCTCATCCTTAAGGGCGTAGCACTCACGACCCCAAGCGACGAGCTAGCTAAGATAATGCTTCAGCAGAACCCCGAACTCAGCAACTTCTCTGAGGATGCCGTTCAATTCAAATTCAAGCGCAACAATCGCAATCCCAATTTGTATAACGCTGTTCTAGTCGTCAGCCCCGGACTATGGAGAGAGCGGCCACCGCCATGGAGAGAGTTCGAGTGGACCATCAAAGGGTGCATTGCGAAGATTTCTCTCCGTTTATACAATGCCACTCTTGTCTGCAATTCGGACACATGAAATCGCGCTGCCCTAACGAGATAAGACGTTGCGCACACTGTGCGGAGAGTTCTCACACCGACAGTGACTGCCCCGCAAAGAATAGCACGCCCAAATGTTATAACTGCTCACAGAATAACTCCAGATATCAGACTGAAAACAGCGTCAAACACAAGGCCACATCACCCTCATGCCCCGTAGTCATCACTGTAAAAAGGCGAATAACTTCCCGAATCAATTATGGACCAGAGTAAATTAATCAAGGTTATCCAATGCAATTTAGATCGTTCCAAAGGCGCTTTACTGGAGTTTACTCGCTTTTTCGTGGCCGGCGAGTACTCCATTGCTCTGGTTTCCGAGCCGTATGTCGACTCGACCAATCTTGTTAAATCCATCCCAGGTGTGCAAATATTTCAATTCCCCAATGCCTCATCTGATAGAATTAAGGCCTGCATCTTTGTTAAAGAGGGCATCCCCTGTTTTAGCGCTTTAGGCTTCACCCAGTACTCCTCGCCCAACCTGTCTGTAGTGCAATTAAAAATTAGAGCGACGCCACTGTTTATAGCATCGGCCTATGTAGAGCCAGACGCTGACAACCTGAGTACAATCGAGCGTTTAGACGTTTTCCTCACCGGCATTGGCGATTCTCGCTGCGTCGTGGGTGGTGACTTCAATGGTTGGCATCCCATTTGGGGCAGCGAGAGAGCTAACGCCAAGTAGTGCACTCACCGATCTGGCACATGGACACGACTTCTTTTTCTGCAACACCGGAGTGACACCCACATTTGAGACCATTACCCATGGCAGACACAGGACATCCATCATCGATATAACAATGGCCTCGGCATCCACCGTTGACTGGATCGAAAATTGGGCGGTCAATCTTGAAGCATGTCCTATTTCTCAGCATAACGCAGTCGTTTTTGACATTCATGCTCGTTGCGACCGACACTACGGAGGTAACAACGCGCATTCCACCTTCAAGTATAAGAGTCATAAAGCAAATTGGGTCAAATTCAAAACTGAACTTCACACACTTATGACTAACACAGATCTTCTCGATATCCCCATATCCAGCCTGGATGCATACGGATTGGAAAGCTTTGTGGACAGGACCACTGAAATTATACATGCGGCTTGCAAGGAATCCATGCCTCCCAAGGGTCCCGGCGGTCGTTACAGACCTCCCTGGTGGACCGACGCACTGGAAAGTCGAAAGGCTGAAGTCATCGGTCTCCATCGTCGGCTTCATGCTGCCAGACACCGCTCTCCCGAGTCGCAGGATGAAATTGACCGTCTATCTCAGGAAACCCAAGCCAAACGCACCCTGTATGCGCAAGAGCTCAGAGATGCATCGACGGCTAACTTCCGCGAATTCTGCAACCGCCAGAGCAAAGAGAATGTCTGGTCTCTGACCAATCGTCTCCTCAAGGAAACTGCACCTCGGCGTCCCCCTATCACTCTCAAACTCGGTACAGAGCACACTACTGATGCGCAACAAACCGCCAAGGTCCTACTTGACCACTTCTATCCGGATGACTCACTTGACTCCTCTCCCAGACACCGTGACCTCAGACAACGTACCAACGACCTGCCTGACACCCCTGACGAACCCCCTTTCGTTGTCGGGGAAGTACTGGAAACTCTTAAAACGATGAATCCCAAAAAAGCGCCCGGTTTGGATGGCTTGACCTCCGATATATGCATGCAATTTGCCCTGGCATACCCAAATCTCATCACGCACATTCTTAATCGTTGTCTCGAGTTGCAGTACTTTCCTAGACAATGGAAGAAAGCTTTTGTTAAAATCATCCCGAAACCGAATAAGTCCGATTACAGCGATCTCTCTTCTCATCGTCCCATCGGTCTGTTGTCTGTGCTTGGCAAGTTGTTAGAGAAGATACTCATAAAGCGGGTTACATATGCTGCTGGTATTGCGGGTAAATTAAATAACAGGCAGTTCGGCTTCAAAGAGCAAACCAACACCACAGCAGCACTGTCCACAGCTCTTAATGTTATACACTCCGCCAAACAAAATAAGGAATTGGTGATCGCCGTTTCCTTGGATATCAAGGCGGCTTTCGATAACGCTTGGTGGCCAGCGCTCTTCGACGGCCTCCGTCGCATAGGCTGTCCTAAGAACATCTTCGGTCTCATCGGTAGCTACTTTCAGGATAGGGAGGTAGTCCTGAACTACGGGGATGAGCGCGCCACCAAGTCTTTGACGAAGGGTTGCATCCAGGGATCGGCGTGTGGCCCTATAATGTGGAATGTGATTCTAGACGAGCTACTTGATATCCAACTACCACGAGGTTGTCACATCCAGGCTTTCGCCGACGATGTACTCCTCGTGGTACATAGCGCTAGAATTGAGGAGTTACAGAGGCTCACCAACACCGCGCTACTCAAAATTATTGAGTGGGGCCATAGCGTAAAACTGACTTTTAGCCCCTCAAAAACGCACGCTATTGCTTTCACACCCAAAGCCAAAGGAGCCACCATCAGAATGGCAGACACCGCTCTCCCTTTCGTGAGAGAACTTAAACTTCTCGGGGTCACACTGGATGAAAAACTGTCATTTAATAGGCACGTACAGCTCATCATCGACAAAGCCACGCGCATATTCAACAGACTCTGTCTCTTCTGTCGTCCCACTTGGGGAGCCCACCCCGAAAATGTCAGAACTATATACCAGCACGTCGTCGAGCCTATCATCACGTATGCTGCTGGTGTATGGGGGCAAGCGGCTCTTAAGAAAGGTATCAAGAGGAGACTGTTGAGTATGCAGCGAGGATTTGCGATTCGAATTATTAGGGCGTTTAGGACTGTGTCCACTACTGCAGCGATCGCGTTAGCAGAACTCACTCCCTTGGACCTTAAAGTTCTCGAAGTCCACCACCTTGAGCAAACGCGACTCACAGGATCTACGCATCTTCTGCGCAGTGATTTGTCTCTTGAGCGTCCCACCCCGCCTCATAAGTTACTTCACCCTGCTGTCAGAGTCTCCATCACTTCGCTTCCTTATTCCTCTCTCACCACTTCACAGTCATCCCTCACCATTTATACAGATGGAAGTAAGCTGGAGAATTCTGACACCGGGGCCGCTTTCGTCGCATATTCTGAAAATAAGCAAATCGCTGTTAAGAAGTTTAAACTCCATCGATCTTGCTCAGTCTTCCAGGCCGAGCTTCTCGCCATCCTTAAAGCTTGCACGTGGGCTAACTCGTTCCACCCACATTCACATATCACCATATTAACCGACTCCCAAGCGGCCCTCGCCGCATTGCAAGATCGAAGCAATACGCATCCTCTGGTCTCACAAACTCATGCACAAATCCATTCGCGCACATCCGGTTCGTTTAGCTTCGTGTGGGTCAAGGGACATATAGGCGTAGACGGGAACGAGGCGGCTGACTCTGCGGCGAAACACGCTGCCGCTTCACACTCCTCTTTATCCTATGCTTCTTATCCCATGTCTTTTGTCAAGCATAATATCCGCGCTGAACACAACCGTATTTGGCAAGCAAGATATGAGAGTTCGTCTCAAGGTCGTCATACGATTTCTCTTCTCCCTAAATTAACTGACATTACCAGATTTAGACAGCTACTCAAAACTTCCTTTCATCTTACTCAAATATTAACAGGACACGGCTATACAAAGCAATACTTGCATCGCTTCAATATAGCCGCTGACGACGCTTGTCCCTGTGATGATTCCACTACGCAGACTTTTGAACATCTTCTAGAACACTGCCCCAGATTTAGCCAGAAGAGACTAAATCATGTCTTGCTTTGCAACAATCTGAGATTGCCCCCATTTAACATATTAGAATTGTTAAAACACGAATCGGCCATCAGTTCATTCGACACTTTTGCTAAACACATTATCACCAATCTTAAAGCTTTCAACGGCCAACTAAGATCATGACAGACTACTTGCGTCCACTAATTAATTAATATCACCTCACCTTCACAAGTCTTCACCTCCCACTAGTACATTTATCACACTCGCCTCACCTCCATTCCATTGTCCGTGTATATAGTTGTCAATTCATCATTACCACATTCATCATCATCAATTCACCTTGTTCCCCCATTGGCATTCGAGTAATCCTGCGGATGTGGTGTATGGATAGCCGTATCAAATCGCGTCTGCCATTCCGCCTGGCCTGGCCTGGCCTGGCCTGGCCTGGCCTGGCCTGGCCTGGCCTGGCCTGGCCTGGCCTGGCCTGGCCTGGCCTGGCCTGGCCTGGCCTGGCCTGGCCTGGCCTGGCCTGGCCTGGCCTGGCCTGGCCTGGCCTGGCCTGGCCTGGCCTGGCCTGGCCTGGCCTGGCCTGGCCTGGCCTGGCCTGGCCTGGCCTGGCCTGGCCTGGCCTGGCCTGGCCTGGCCTGGCCTGGCCTGGCCTGGCCTGGCCTGGCCTGGCCTGGCCTGGCCTGGCCTGGCCTGGCCTGGCCTGGCCTGGCCTGGCCTGGCCTGGCCTGGCCTGGCCTGGCCTGGCCTGGCCTGGCCTGGCCTGGCCTGGCCTGGCCTGGCCTGGCCTGGCCTGGCCTGGCCTGGCCCTGGCCTGGCCTGGCCTGGCCTGGCCTGGCCTGGCCTGGCCTGGCCTGGCCTGGCCTGGCCTGGCCTGGCCTGGCCTGGCCTGGCCTGGCCTGGCCTGGCCTGGCCTGGCCTGGCCTGGCCTGGCCTGGCCTGGCCTGGCCTGGCCTGGCCTGGCCTGGCCTGGCCTGGCCTGGCCTGGCCTGGCCTGGCCTGGCCTGGCCTGGCCTGGCCTGGCCTGGCCTGGCCTGGCCTGGCCTGGCCTGGCCTGGCCTGGCCTGGCCTGGCCTGGCCTGGCCTGGCCTGGCCTGGCCTGGCCTGGCCTGGCCTGGCCTGGCCTGGCCTGGCCTGGCCTGGCCTGGCCTGGCCTGGCCTGGCCTGGCCTGGCCTGGCCTGGCCTGGCCTGGCCTGGCCTGGCCTGGCCTGGCCTGGCCTGGCCTGGCCTGGCCTGGCCTGGCCTGGCCTGGCCTGGCCTGGCCTGGCCTGGCCTGGCCTGGCCTGGCCCTGGCCTGGCCTGGCTGGCCTGGCCTGCACATGCGCAGCCGCAGAGCGCGGGGCCGGCGGCGGGCGGCGCGGGCGCGGCGTGCACGTGCACGTGCACGAGGCGCAGCGCGCCCAGCAGCCGCGCCAGCGGGGCCAGCGCGTCCTGCGCCGCCAGCGCGCCCGGCCGCAGCGCCTCGCGCCCGGCGCGCAGCACGTTGGCGGCGAACACGAGCGGCGGGTGCAGCACCGCGTTAAAGGCTAGCGCCAACGCCGGCTTCAGCGCGTAGTCCGACGCCGTCTGCACGCAGCCCGTCACCGCGCCGCGCAACGTTATCAGCACACACCTGCGAGTCGCGGCGGAATGGCTTGTGAGATAGTATAGATACTGGTTGTCAGAGGCGAGCGTATCGACATAGACGTGTTGCGGCGGGCACCTTTCGATATGCAGCAGCAGCGCGAGCGGCGCGGCGAGCAGCAGGCGCGCGGCGGCGAGCGGCTCGGCGAGCAGCTCGGCGGCGCGGCGGCCGGCGCGGCGCGCGCCCGCCTCCAGCCGCGCCGCGCGCGCGCCGCCGCTCGTGCGCAGGTACTCGGCGCCGCCGCGCTCGAAGTAGTACACCTCCACGCGCTCCGGGCCTGCCGTGCAGACACGCACACCTTTACAATAACATCGTCCAGCTCGATTCACATAATCGGCCGTCGGCGACGCGTGACACGCAAATAAAAATCTTATATAATACCTACCTCAACAGATAATTACGCTATGTGGGCACAAAAATATTAAGCTATTTGTTAAATAAAGGGATTTTAGTAAATTTTTTTTTTTAGCTTTCATCACCTACTTCATCTCGCATTAAGGTCACAGGTTCGAGGTTCCTGAAAAGTGCATTGTCGATGACGATGCCTATTTTTCATCATTGTTTGGAATTATGCCTATTCATCCTCACACGCTTGAACCTAAAGTGCAATTTCAGATGAATTTTGTCCCGCGAACACTCAGACTGTAGAATAAACTCCCTGCCAAGGTTTTCCTACCAGACCACAATATAAACAAATAAGAAGGGTATGTTAAAGTTTCTTCAGGGTCGGCAACGCGCACGTGACACCCCCTAGTGTTGCAGGTGTCCATAGTCTACAGTGACCGTTTACCATCAGACGAGCTGTATGCTTGTTTGCTTGTTTGCCACCTTTGAATATAAAATTGACCAAAATATATATTAGGTTGTATGTCACAATAATATTACTTACTGCAGTCTTTTGAATTGACTTGTTCATTTCCAAATTGCTTGAGATCACTCCAATCTGATATTTTATATTTTTGCTGTAATTACACAACAGTTACAAAATTAACATATAATAAAATATATATATAAAGTACACGCCACCATCAACGACGTATCTATCGAGAACACTATGGTTGTGACAATATCATTTTTAGTGAACGACAATGATATGGTCACCCTGCCTGCGCTACCAGTATACACTGGCGATACCAATAAGAGACAGGTGAGGATGAAAGTCAGTTACCATGTCTTGACCATTTTCATAAGAACAGCGGCGGCCTGAGGGGGGGTGGCAAACAAGGCAATTACCCGGGGCCTCGCGCTTACCCGGGGCCTCAATGAATAATAAGACAGTTTTCTTAAGTCAGCGGAAAATTTCCAGTAATTTGATATATATATATATATATATATATATATATATATATATATATATATATATATATATATATATATATATATATATATTGTATAACTTTAATATTTGTCGTCAAACATGACAAATACCGCAATCAAACAACCAGGCCTAGTTTCGCATACTTTTCAGGAAGGACAAAGGGCCTCGCAAAGACCAACCGCCCGGAGCTTCGCAATGGGTTAGACGACGATAGACGACCGACACCCACGAGGGGGAGGGGGGAGGACGATATCATTATGTATGGCTAGGTGTATACAGCTGTATGCGTGATGTAGTGGGTGGGAGTAGTCACCTGAGGTCCGGCGGTGAGGTGTGGGTCCGGCTTATCGTCCTCCAGTAGGGCGGCGGCTCCAGTAGTAGTGTCGCCGCCCGCGCCCTCCGCGTCACCTCGGCCCATGAAGTTCCAAGCTGGCCGCACCCCGCTGTTCATAATTATATATATATAAATATAAAAATAATAATAGTACTATAAATACGAGCCCCACCCGGTCCCGAAAAGCGACACCGTCAGGTTCTACTGGGACCGATCCATCATCACGAACAAGACAGTTCTTGCGAACAAATCTGATATCGTAATAATGGATCGAGCACTTTCGAGGGTGTTTTTGGTGGATGTCACCATACCGCATGACGAGAACCTCGTGAAAGCCGAAACAGAGAAAAAGAGAAAATATCTCGACCTGGCTCACGAGGTGACCGAAATGTGGGGGGTGACAACATCTCAGACGGTTGGGATTCCGAGGCGGCTCATTCCTGGGAAAGATGCAGAAAGCGGTGATTTTAGATTCTGCCCGCATTGTACGCCAGTTTCTCTCCCTGGGGCCCTGATCCGCGACCGACTGTGCTTCTGGCGGGGGTTACTTGCCATCTCCTCTCCTTAAGAGGGGAGATGAGAATTTTTGTGAAATTTAAAAAATAATAATAAAAAAAAGCACAAGTATTATTACGGGTCATTATCACGCCACAATTGCACGAGCGGCGGGCACGCGTGCGTGGCAGCGACTGCAGCGACAGGTCCGTCAGGGCGACTGAACGCTAGCGGCGCGCACAACGCTGCCGGCAGTATGTACACAGCTCCGCTTCCACAGTCCGGGCGTCCGTCTCCCTCCTTATGCTACATCAACATGCATCAGAAACAAAAGTCATTGTTGTTACTATTATTACCGTATATAGTCAGTCAATAAAGCTAACTAGTTGCCAGCTAATCTAACTAAAAAAACTAGCGATCTGTCCCGACTTCACACGGTGTGAAAATAAAATAATATCCATTTTAAAATCGGTTTAGTATTTTTAAAACAGGTTATATTTTCTGGATGATAATGAAATGGTAAACCCGCCTGCGCTAACGGTGTCCTCCAGCTGGTGGGCTCCAGTGAGGGATGACGGATGGGGATGAAGCAGGTCAGTTAGTCCATTGTAATGAATATATCAGGTATTCAGCACGATGGTTTCCAGGAGGGACCACGTGGAGATCGACCTGACAGGGTATAATGCTAATAATGGGACTCTTTTGATATTAGCTAAGATCAGTGTCGTAGCAACAACATACAAGAGGCCCAGGACGAGGACTGGAAGCGGTGGGCAAGCGCGGCCCGGCATCCGCCGCCGCTGGTCTCCGCTGTTGTCGGTATTTCTCTACCACAACCTGCGTAAGTAAGTGTACTGCATACACATTTTGCTGGTAACAGAAATGCATTAGGATAAATAAATAATAAATAAATAAAAAATACATACCGAGTATGACTATGTTAAATATCCCACTAGTAACATGTTCATAGTCTGAGTACCTAAGTATGTTGACATCTATCGTAACTAAATGGCGTTGTATAAAATTAGAAAGCCATATTAAAATATCTGTAGTAATCTATACTTACAATAAATCTGTAGAGAGGTCAATTCTGTACATGAGATATATTTCCAAAATAACTATCAGCGGGTGATTAGTGATCGATACTGATGCCAAAAATGCAAGCAGTAAAATTTTTGTCTGTCTGTCTGTATGTTCGTTATAGAAACAAAAACTACTCGACGGATTTTAACGAAACTTGGTACAATTATTCTTCATTCTCCTGAGCAGGTTACAGTATATTTTTTATCACGCTACGATCAATAGGAGCAGCGCAGTGAAGGGAAATGTAGGAAAAACGGGAGAAGTTACTCCATTTTTAAGCTTCCGTCGCGTGTGCAGCCTTAATGGCCACTTTTTAAAATGTAAAAATGTCCACCCGTGTGACGCCGGGACGGGCCGCTAGTAAATAAATAAATAAGTAATGATCATATACTTGTAGTTATTTAGAGGTTATTTAGTTTTGTCACCCATAATGGTGCTAGGTCCGATGCGTGGAACAGAGTACGGTAGTCCGGTTCTTCAAGAAGAGTGGTAACGGCAATATCCTATTTAAGAACTATACACCGATATCCTTTGTGAACTGCCTCTACATACCGATTCGAAAAAAAAAAAAAAAAACTATGCAGCGGGGGAAAAGGAGTTGTTAGCAATGGAGTTTGACAGCCCCATTGCTAACAATATGTCCTATTAGGTCGACCTCCACGTAGTCCCCCATGGAAACCGTCGTGAACAATTCTTGTTGAATTCGTCACGATGGACTAACTGACCTGCTTCATCCGTCACTGGTGCCCCGCCTGCGTATACCGATAGCGCAGGTGGGGTTACCATACCATTATCATCCAATAAGACATACGCTACGGCAAATTATACAGAAGACAGAAGAGTATATTCTGCTAGTACGTGTGACGTTTGTGGACTGTGAGAAAACCTTTGATTCGGTCGAGACATGGGCGGTACTGCAATCCTTCAATTAATTAAGAATTGTAGTACCATTAATTAATAGCCTATATATGTATGTCCAGCAATGGACAGATAGTGGCCGATATGATGACGATGATGATGATGATGATGAATGGTTGCATATATATCACAGATTTATTTTTATTTCTTTGCAAATATACCTTGTTGTGGATACTTGAAGTTCTTATTTGATAGACCGAGATCAGAGTAGTTGTCGGCAAAGGCACCCTCTGTTGTTCAGATTGTGACGGGTTCCTTTTTACCTTTATGCTAGGTAGGTAGGTGGTAGAACTATAAAACTCTCTTTTTTACTTTTGATTAAAACAAGATGGCGCTGTTAAATTTCACAATAACTAATCTCTGTCCCTTGTATTTATAAGTAATTTTGAATTTATAACAAATTTATCGATTAAATAACTGGAGCCGTAGTAGCGACCATACTGAGTGTTCAGGGAATGGTTATCTTCTGCTACCTTACCGTCACTTCTTTTTCTATTAGGTGAGGTAAGACCAAGCGCAAACTAGTGATTATCTACAATGTTTTTAGGAAAATAAAATTACTGTGCCTAATTGAATTTAAGAACAATGTTTGTCGGGTTACCTTAATAATTTAAATGTAAGAAGGTACCCGCTGCTACCTATATACCTGAATATATGACGCTGCATCGTCAGCGGCCGGCCGGGGAGTGCTGCCAGCAGCCGGCCGCGCGTGCTGCGCCGCCGTAGTCGATTGCCCGGCCGCGCCCGCCGCGCCCGCCGCCCCCGCGGCCTCGTGTATCTCGTTGTATCCACTGTTACTGTCAGATGGCAACTGGCTGCAGCTTGACGCGTTAACATCTGGAAATTACTTTGATGCTCTTCTTTCCTTCTTATTCTATACAAATAGCTAGCGCCACGTGACAGTGACAGTGACGGTACCTATCAAGCACGCGCAGGCGGTGCAGCTGTGCCATACTGTGCCCACTTGTCTTGTGTCTAATAATGCTAATTTGAATTTCAATTATTATAAACTTCACGAACGATACTTACACAAATAGATATTATTATAGTTCTAAGTTCGCTTCAGATTTTTGGTTTCCAAATTCTGGAGAATGGTACTTTTTTAGAAGAACTATCTGAGAACTAGAGACTAGGTAAATTGGATAATACTATTATAAACTCTCTTATGATACCAGCAAAACCTATTTTACTACGAATATCAGTAAAATTACATCGACGTATGAGAATCGACACAACGTGCCTACAGGTTCTCGTCGTTATTACCAAAATAATATCTGCGGGCGGTGCTGTGGACTACCTTCCTACCATCTTCGAAGTCGCGCAGTATCCATCAGCGCAGGTTGTGTGCGCCGCCGACTGCGCGAATTTCATCTTGGAAACACAGGACATATCATACATCGGAAGCCCCAGCTTTTCAGCCGTCGTCATGAAGTTTTTTTTTTATATATGAGCTTTGTATTTTTATAATACAACCTTTTAAGTATGAGCCATGATACGGTCGCGCCTCCCATCGCGGAGATATGTAAGGTATCGGTTAAGCTTTCCCCTTTCTGCTCAAAATGTAGTTTGCGCAGGCTGTAGCAAACTTTGAGCTCGCCAGTATAAAAGCATGCTAAGCAGCGGAAGTGTAGGATTTCCTAACCAACCCACCTCATAAAGACATAATTAAAACTACACTTATTAATAGACTTTCTTGGACTGAACAAAAGCGTTGAGGAACTGGGTGGACGCAAGTCTTCCCAATTCCTCCGTCACTTACAATTTCTTGCCGGTTTGTCCCTACGCGATGATATGTTATTATGGCAGCTTTGGTTAGGTCGCTTACCTGAAAACGTGCAAGTCTTTGCTACACATACCGATGTACCTTTAGCAAAATTAGCTGATTTAGCTGACAAAATTTTAGAGGTAACTCCAAATTTTTTCCTCTGTCTGCGCAGCAATTAATCACTCCGCTCACATCTCAAATGATGATGATCCGATACTAGTTATAGCTCAACGTTTAGAGTCATTGTACACTCAGATTATTAGGCATAGGCTATAGGCATTATAGCGAGGACGCAACCCTGGTCGATCAAAGTCAAGATCGCTTGGTCGCTCACAACAACCTGGTATTTGTTGGTACCAGCACCCATTTGAAGAGCTGCGCTGTGAGTGTGCCTTTGGCACTAGTTTGGTAGGTACGGAACACATTTTAGCAGATAAAACAGATTTCAGCAGAGTATACCTAGATATGTATTGGCGATTTCCGACTCTTTTGCTTCAACGCCTCTGTTCGATGTTACTTTTGAGAAGTGTAAGCCGTACGCATTCATTTTAATTATGCGTAAATCTCTTCACACTCTTATAAGCTATATTTATTACAATTCAAAATAAGTGCCAATGTAGGTATTATATTTTCATTGATAAGATCGATATTTTTGACAATTATTACTGTTGGTGACATAATTTTTTTAAAACCACGTCACGGTCGCCAGTATGGGAAGGGTTCGTTGTATAAAACAATAAAATAGAAAATCCTGAATAGAGATATATTACATTTTTCCTACATTACAATAATAGTATAATATAATAAATATTAATAAAAAAATTAAAAGTAAAATAAATAAAACTTCAACAACTGTAATGCAATAAAAATAGATCGTAATTATTTATTTCCGAAACATTTTATTACTTTGAACAAGAATTTCCAACAAATTTTTCCAAGGAATTTCCAAAAAAAAAAAATTCTTTTTTAATTCCATAAAAAAGAAAACCTATGTAGCAATGATGCAGTTCACTTTATCCTTATAGCGTAATAATTATTTATGCGAGATTGAGCCAACATACTAGAGGCGCTACAAAAGCGAGGTAGCCCCAACAGCACTGTGAAACTGTTATTATATTGGACTCGTAGGGCATTGAGAGGACTGTGTGCAGTTGACCCACCGGCAGCTCGTGTAGAATGTTTACAAGTATGCTTTCAAGAGTGTAATTTTTACTTCTTCACTACGAGCAAACCTGACGAGCCGACATGTTGCATCTAACAGCCAATGCCCTACGCTCCCTTTCGACATTAGTTTGATCTTTAAGGTCATCAATAAAATAATGCCCCAGGTATTTAAATTTATACACTCTTTTTATATTTGCTCCGTATAATCGGATATTGAGCACATGTGTAGAACATTTAGCCCATGACTCGCCGAGTACATCTTACACATGGGTGGCAGCACAACTGCAATGCCGTTGGTGTTGTGGGTAATCATGGGCAGCGGTAGTCACTTACCATCAGGTGAGCCGCAAGCTAGTTTGCTCCGTGATGTTAAAAAAAAAGAAAAAAAAAAAAAACGTGCATAATGTGTCTTAGGGCTCTGATCGTTAGAGTCAGAGCAGTACCATGTCGTCTCTCGCTCTAACTATATGTAAATTGTTGTAATTAAGTTCGGCTTTGTCGATCTCTATCCATCCGGTTATGCCTTCATAACGTTAATCATAGATCGATAATTATATTGAGTGTGGGGTCATTAGTAGTGAGGCAATTGCTAGCAATGTAAGTAGCTAGATTTTTACAGTTTTATCTGTAAAACATTGTGACTAATATTTGATAATTTCCTCACGACGGGTCAATCTATAATCCCTCGCCGAGGCCCCGCTGGGATTACCATTCCAGTGTTAAATGATGGCGGAGCGGGGGCGTCACTGCGAGAGGTGGCGCTCACTTGTTACTTTATCATCTCCCACATGCAACTTAAATAGACTACAAGTTTTTGCTAGCTTGTGCAGGATTTTTCAATAAAAACGACAAGTGGATCGATAATTAATTTATTGTCTCGATTCAGGTGGCCTCTGTGCGGTGACGGCAGCGGCGGGCGCTGCGGGCGTGGCTGCTGCGGCGGTGGCGGCGGCGGCGGGAGCGGCGGGGGCGGCTGCGGCGGCGGGGGCCGGCGCCAGGTGCGTGACCACGACGTGCGAGTGGCGCGCCGCCGGCAGCAGCCGCGCGGGCCGGCGGCGGCGGCGGCGGCGGCGGCGCGCCGCAGCGGCAGCTGCTGCAGCTGCAGCGTGCGCAGCGTGGCGCCACCCGTCGCCTCCGCGCCCGACGAGCTCGCTGCGGCACCCTGTCCACGCCACACACGTAGTTAATACATATTCTACTGCGTGATACTAGCTTCAGATTCCATACAAATAATTAGATATTGGTGAAGAATTATGAGTAGATTTCATTGTTGTTATCCTGTCGTTATTTTTATGTAAATAAGCTTTGGTTTGCTGATGACATAGCGGAAATGGTGGAATCCCTGCTTCTTAATAGGCTGGTCTTATACATAAGCAAGACTAAAATCATATCTAACGTACATGTCACTCCTATATCGGTCACGATAATATTTCAGAGTTTGAAGACGAAGGTCTTTAACCAGTGCGTGTTGCCAATGATGACTTATGGGACCGAAACATGCTTCTACACTGTTGTTTGTATGCAAAAACTCTAAATTACACAGCGGGCTATGATCGGAGTTTCTTTGCGTGATAGAATCTGAAACGAGGACATCCGCAAAAGAACTAAAGTAACCGACATAGCCTGAAGGATAAGCAAGCTGAACTGGCAATGGGCTAGTCACATAGTTCGAAGAATCGACAACCGATGGGCAATCAAGGTTCTTGAGTGCGGACCCCCCACTAGATAGAATGACGACCTCAAATGCATTGCAGGGAGTTAGTGGATGCAGGTGGCTCAGGACCTTCTCTTATGGCAGTCTGTGGGGGAGGCATGTGTCCAGCAGTAGATGGATACTGGCTGAAATGATGATGGTTTGCCTGTTTCAAATAATATATAGATGGAATACCATAAGGAGGAACGTACCTGAGCGTGTGGTGCGCCCGCGTGGTGTAATATTTTAAGATGGTGGCGGGCGGCGAGCGCCTGCTGCTGTCTGTAGAGCAGCTGCGCGGGCGCCGCGCTAGTGACCGTCGCCACGGCCACGGGAGCTGCGGCCCGCGGCTTGTCCGGCGACGCGGCCACCGCCGGGCCCGGCGCTGCTTGCCCGGCGGCCGCGGCCGGCCGGACCCGGCGCGCCGGCTCCGTCTTCGTCAACTGGGCCGCGTGCGTGGCCACCACGATCCGCTGCGGCGGGGTGGCCGCGGGCGGCGCGGCGGCGGCGGCGGCGGCGGCGGCGGGCGCGGCGGCGGGGGCGCCGGCCTTGAGCTTCTCCTTGGCGATGCGGTCGGCGCGGCGCGACGCGACCTCCATGGGCGTGGGGGGCGCGTCGTAGTCGATGCCGTGGTCGGCGAGCAGCGCCGCGTGCTTGGGGTTGGGGTGCGGCGGCTCGTCGAGGCGGCGCTTGGGCGCGTCGCGGCGGCGCTGCGCGGCGTCGAGCATGGCGTCGAGGCGCGGCAGCGGCGGGCGCGGCGGCTCGTCGTCGGCGCGGCGGCGCGCGGCGCGGCGGTGCTTGCGGCGCGCGCGCTCGGGGTCGGCGAGTGCGTCGTGGCGGTCGCGCGCGGCGCGCGGCGAGCGGTGCGCGCGCGCCAGCTCGGCCAGCGCGTCCGCCACCCACTCCCAGTTGGGCGCCAGCGCGGCCGGCGGCTCGCCGGGCAGCCGCTGCAGGCGCAGCGCGCGCCGCAGCGCCGCGTCCTCGGCGGCCGACCAGTCGGGCGGCGCGGGCGCGGCGCCGTGCGGCGGCGGCAGGCGCGCGCGCGGCCGCGGCCGCCCGCCGCCGCGCTCGAACAGCGAGGGCGGCGCGGGCGGCGGGCGCGCGGCGCCGGCGCGGCCGCGGCGCGGCGAGCGCGCGGCGCGCGGCGAGCGCCGCCCGACGGCGGGCAGCAGCGCCTCGGCGGCGGCGCCGCGCCGGTACAGCGCGCGCGCCCAGCTCTCGCAGTACACGTCACCGTCGCCGGAGGGCGGCGTGGGCGGGCACCACACCTGCAGTCAGCCCGCGGCGTATAATTATAATAATTTGCCAGAAATATAAATAATATGATGTTACAGTTTGTTTTTTAATGTTCAGTATGTTTCGCCATATTTAATAGCATGCAAATGTTTATAAATAGTGTTAAAGCATTAACAATATGCAATGAATATTATTCACTCCTGCGTATAATGAAGCGGTTTCAGCGGTAAAACCAATGGACGAGTGGTAAGTTATTAATAGATAATCACACACAACATCAACCAGTAACAAGAGTCACTCATCACGACATCGCAAGAACGCCAGTCATAACGCAGGAGAAATTTACATGACCTTTCAGGTTTTCAAAATTGTAACTGACTCGCAAAACAAAACTGCAACGCATTACATCAAATTTATATTACATCAACGCTTCAAATTATTATCTATTTTTATTTACCCTAGTTAAACCGCTCAAATACTAGGTATATTTATTCATCATCATCATCATCATCCGTTCATCATCAAAACACAAGCGCACATAATTAACAAATAGTATCCATCAAACACAATGAATCCATCACATTGTAATTTTAATATAATAACATAACAAAATGGAACTCCCTACGAATAATACTGAGTGTATAATTTATTCGTTTGTCATTTGTTTTACGGTTCAGCAACACAAGAAAATTTTCGTGCGATGATTTTTTATGACTTTCGATGTCATCTAAGTCAACAAGAAAGTTATGATAGACTACGATTGGCCTTTCACAATGAAGCCCCGTCTCGTGCCACTGTTTATAACTGGTTTAATGAGTTTAAACGTGGTCGCACTAATCTCACCGATGATGTGCGTGAGGGACGGCCTTCTACGGCGACGACTGAAGATAACATCAGTGTTGTGCGGCGTGTGATAGAGACTGACAAAAGAGTGACCTATCAGCAGATCCGGGCAAGCTTAGGGATTGGTATGAGTCAAGTGCACAAAATCCTCCATGAACATCTGGCGGCGAGGAAGCTTTGTGCCTAGTGCATACCTCATAATTTGACCGAGACTCAAAAACTCCGTCGTGTTGATTGATGGCGTGAAATGCATGAAAGATTTAACAGAGGTGACTCAAATTCTGTGTTTGACATAGTTACGGGAGACGAAAGCTGGATTTACTGTTATAATCCCGAAACTAAAAGACAGTCAGTTCAGTGGGTGTTTCCTTCCGAGGAGTTGCCAACTAAAGTGAAGAGAGGTCGAAGCGTGGGAAAAAAGATGGTGGCCTCGTTCTTTGGAAAAACAGGTCATTACTCGACAATTGTTTTAGGGGATCGAAAAACAGTTACTGCAGAGTGGTACAGTAACAATTGTTTGCCACATGTTTTGGAAAAAGTGCGTGAGAAACGACCTCGCAGTAGGATCCTCCTTCACCACGACATTGCTTCGTCCCACACAATGATTTGGCGACCTCAGACGTAGAACTACTGGGTCATCCGCCTTATAGCCCCGACCTCGCACCTTGCGATTTTTATTTATTCCGAAAAATAAAAGAAAAACTTCGAGAAAACGTTTTATGGACGCCGAGGAAGCTGTGGCTACGTTTCAGAAGGCCGTCGAAGAAATCCCTAAGAACGTGCTTTTCTCAGTGGTTCTATCGGATGCAGCGATGTATTGACGTGAATGGACACTATCTTGAAAAGATAAAGGTAAAAACTTGCTAATTTAATCAGTTTTTAATTTTCTAAGGGGTTTCAGTTTGACACTCGTATTAAAATATTTCAAATTAATATTTATACAAATACTTGTGTCAATATATTTAAATCCGGAACAAGCCCAAAATTAAAATCCCAAGATATAATAAATGGTATACAGTATAGCTGAATCATTTATACATACATACATTTCATTATTTAAAAAAGTCATTTATTGAATAAAAATTATATTCCAGCAACCATTTTTTTAACCGTAATTTAGCGTAAAATTAAATGAAATATTTTTTTGCTTCGTGACTTAATGGCAGTTCCCTCTGACTTTGGTATTTTATCATACATTCTAATGGTCTTTATATCACAATTTTGTTGCTGCAGTGTGGCTCTGCAGACGGGCAATTTCAACCGTGTGGGATCTCTTGATCTTGAATAAATTCACACTCGAAAGTTTTGTAAGAAATTGTGGGTTTTGTTTGATAAATATTCCTACTTCATAAATATACATCGATGTAAGAGTTAATATTTCTATTTTTTTAAATAGTGGTCTAAATGTTTCGGTTGGTTTTACACCGCAGATATCTCTAACGCATTTTTTCTGTGCTGTAATGTCGAAAAAGGTCTCTATAAGACCTTTTTCGACATTACAGTTTCCCCAAAGCAGAATCCTATATCTTAAAATCGAACCCACATGCCTACCACGACACGCTATCAGTACGGTTTGTTCATTGGCCACTCTTTTTAATCGCCTAAGAGCGTATACAAAACTGTTTAGACGTTTCCTTACGTAGTTAGTATGAGCCTTCCAGTTACAATTTTTATCCAAGATAAGTCCTAAAAATTTAATTTCAGTCACTTTTTCATTTTTACATTTTATAACCATATTGTTGGTGGCATGGAATAATTAGAAAATTGTAAAAATTTAGCCTTAGAAATGTTAACATTTAGGTCATTATTTTGAAGCAAAGATAAAATTTTTTTACAATGTGCTGTACTCACCGGCATGGTCTCGCCGCCGCCGGTGTCGCTCACCCACACCTGTAAAGACGACTATACTTAATTCTATACATTTAATACCATTAAAATTTTGGATATTTTTTCGGATATCACCTTTCGAGTGGCGCTATGACAGAGACGATACTCACTGTCTCGTGGCTCGGCGAGCCGCTAAGTGATGGCTGGCTGCCGTACGTTTAGTCTACATTCTGCTGTACTATCTCATATTGAAGAAAAACAAATAGTAAGCAATACATGCACAGTATATATTGGCCGTAATGGATATTAAGAACGCGCGTCGTCTCTACTTCCCTAATCGATACCCTCGTATTCGTTAGGACGTGCTGCATGTTGCGATTCAAATTAAAATTTCCGATACCTATTACATTCAACAACAACTACAAAAACATGAGTGTAACACACTAATGTAATGTAATGTAGATTGGACTCTCTTTACCGCGCTTAGCGTCTCATTTGGGCCGTTGTGCATATGAATCGGAGTTAGTACAGCCAGCCCAGCTCCGCCCAGAAGCACAGAAGCTTTCTGGTATCTTCACATGCCTCACGGAGCGACCTCACCGTTCCGAGGACTTCTAAACGTTGATGGGCCAGTGTCATATTTCAGGATTAAGTGAGTAGTCGTTTCTTCGGCGTCGAAACAGCCTCGACATAGAGGGCCGTCTATGGCTCCTTTTGTATATACATGTTTGTTTAATGGGCAATGGCCCGTTATTGTCCCTATCATTATTTTAAGGTTTTTCCTATCTAGATGTAGTAAACGTTTTGAGAGTCGTTGATTCAACGTTGGCACGACCAATTTTAATTACCTGCAATCAGTAGCCTGTATCCATCTTTGATTTTGTATGTCAGCGGATCTTTGACGAATACATATTCAAAATTGCGAGAACGGAAGAAGTGGATACGGGCCTACCACCTTCGTTCCAGAATCCGTTCTAGCTAACTCGTCTGCGGCATCATTACCATAAGATCCACTGTGCCCTCTTATCCACTGGAGGATAACTTAGTTATTGGAAGATATCTTACCCAGTGCCCGGTGGCATTCAATTATCAATTTGTTGTTTGTCTTGTTGTTTCGTAATGCTGCGCTGTCAGATAAGAATGTAATGCTAATACTATTTATTCCTAGCTTATGTACAGCTGCAGCAGCCTCGGTTATTGCAACACATTCGCATTGGAATATTGAGCTGTGTACGCCAAGCTGTATGTCAATGTTTATATTAAGGTCTAAGGAAAAGACTCCGGCTCCTGAACTGGTCTCAGTATTGGCGAGCCATCGATAACGTTACACTATCTGATATACAAAACAACAAACAGAATGGCAACGATTGAAATATATTTTGATATTCATCTAAACTAGCTACATCTGTTTTTTTTTTTTTTTTTAAGAATGATAATGGAATCGTAACGCTACCGTGATAAATTCAACAATAAATAAATAAATCTACAATCACGACGGTTTCTAGGCGGAACTGCGAGGGGGTCTAGCTGATAGAGTATATTGCTGGCAATGGGGTTGGTAATCTCCATTACTAACAACCCTTTCTGCCCCGACTCGGATCTGGATGTTCTGGGAAAGTCTCTAGTTATTAGCCTAGTAGCTAGTGATTTTTTGTAGCCAAGATTGATTGCCGTGTGAGTGGGGCGGCGCTCGCGGCCGTAACGACTGCCGCCGCGCTGTGGTCGCACGGTCGCGGTGGAATCGCTTCGATAGAAAGAATGCCAAATGGCAGCGCTGTTTGTCTAAGAACGACGGTTCCCGCTACCATCGGTGGACCGTCCGTCACTTTACTATTCCAAGTTCCGTAAAAAAAAAATTAAGGAAAACAACATTTTGTGACAAATAACAATTTGCGTGAAACGATCACTCGATTCTTAAAGTTGATTTTTGTAAGTGACAATATCGACTGATGAAATATTTCGAAACTGACGAGTTTAATTCCTGACCAGGAAAATCATTTTCCTAATAATGTAATGATGCAGTTTCAGTATTTTTCGTTATTTCTTAGTTTTAAATTTAACCACCGATACAGTGTAATTGTATAAAAAGATATAACAAAAAAAAAGTTTGTTATAAACGTTTAGCTTTTTAAAAAATTATTATTACTCATATTCATAGAATCCTAAACGTATATTGATGCTAGGCGTGGATAATATCGGTTATGTGCAATATAGTATCTTAACTATATATTATTATTATCTATTTCGATTCGAAGAGATATAGGACGCAACTCGCTATGAAGTTGGCGAGTGTTTTCGTTTCGATGTCACCCACACCGAGTCCGCTATTCATATATTAAAATTCACAATTTAGCGATGATGACGATAAAAAAAAAACATCACCATTTTCCGTATCCCCTACACCCGGTCCGACAACTGTATATATTTACATAAAAGCTGCTCGCTCTGACTTTTACGTATCCTTATTGCTTCTAGATATTACTACTGCCTATCGGTCATCCATTATGCAAATTTCATATATGAAGGAGCCAATATAGTAGATGTCAGTCGTGGTCGACGTCATATGTCGGCTCCTTCATTTAGATATTTATTATATTTTGAATAAACCGACAACGTATGTGCAGTCGTCGTGATAATCTTTATATAGTTGTGATATTGGGACAATACGATATGTATCGCCCATATCTAATTTCTGATACATCATGAGACATACTATAGCACGGTTGTAACAGATCTGCGCGAGGTTGCCCACCGAATACTTACACCTGATCCTTCAGGATGTACCTGTAGGTATGTTTGCGCTACCAATCGCGTTACATGGCTGCCACTTGTCTAAGGGCGCTGTGCTTCTGGCAGGTCACCATAACGGATTCATTTGTTTTATTGTCATTAACCAGATGCTATACTCGTACTGCTGCGCAAGGTGTCTATCTCTTAAGGATAACCCACAATAACCATTTTTTATCGTTTACATTTTACGGGAAAAAATGGCTTATTTACGAAGTGATTTTAAGCAATACAGCATTAATTTTTATCCAATTAAGTACCTTAAATACATTGTCCATTTCATAAATTAATATGGCTCTTTACAGCATGTAATTTAAATGAATATTTCCGAAGATATTACAAATTTAAAATGCAGGGACATAGCAGTGCGGAGGTACCGGTCCGGCCGACGACGGGCCGGTATCTCCGCACTATTTGATTCGCATACTACGTTGTTTTATGGTCGAGTTGATGGAGGATCTATAGCGAACTTTAACAAGACAGGTGCCTTCGCCATCTCAGGTCAGGTTAGCGGGGGAGGCGAGAGTCAAAATGACCCACACAGCGTACATCTGCGTCCACGATAACCAGGCAACCGCAGCAAAACAAAAGATCGATAGACCGCGCAGATCACTACTACTATTGAGAATGTAAATCCGTGATGGTGACGTGCACAAGAGTTAGACGTAACGTTTTAATATTGTGTTATAACAAAACCTAAGCAACCTAAATACCATATGTACTCAGTACGAGTTGATCATTCTACATTGGTTATTGATGTCCAGGACAATTTATAATTATATACTTAGTGCATATGATTAGAACGCATACCAATGTAGCGACCACTCACACTATCTATGCCGAGTAAAATATAACTTTTTTTTTAAAGGTACCAACCAAGCAGTAACTTTCTTTTACCAATATTCTATTAGGGTCAACGCAGATGGAGGATAACTTTTAACAGATGAGTGACAAAATGTTGTTTTAAAATTCTCCGCGGATCAAAATCCCCCGTCCGCGCCGGCCGCTAAGGGTGGTGGGGGTGATGGGGGGGTGGGCGGCGGTCGCTCGGCCCGTAAATGCTTGCCATCTTACATCCCTGACGTTCGGGCGGGCGGCTCGCGCAGGCGCGGGCCTGCAGACGGTGACGGTCAAGCATTTACGGACGAGAAACGAGCGGCACCGTCGAACGTCAGGAATATAAAACGCACGTGTAGCATCGAATCATTTATTATCATCACGGGGGCGCGCGTCCGTCGCGTTCGACAGCCAGGCGTCCAGCGTGCCGTTCCGGAGCGGCCGGCGCCGCGCCGCGCCGCCGCCGCCGCCGCCGTCCGCGCCGTCCAGCGTCCACAGGTTGATGTGCACGGTGCCGCGCGAGCGCGTGCGCGGCGCCGCGGCCGCGGCCGGCGCGGGGTGCGCCGCGGGCGGGGACGGCGGCGGCGACGGCGGCGGCGGCGGCGGCGGCGGCGGCGGCGGCGGCGGCGGCGGCGCGAGCGGCGCGGGCGGCGCGCGGCGCCGGCGGACACGCACCTTGGCGCGGGCTTGCTCCCGCTCGTACGTGAGCTCGGGCTCGGGCTCGGGCTCGGTCGCGGCGGGCGGCTGGTCGCGCAGCTGGCGGCGCGCCGCCTCCCACTCGCGCAGCTGGCGCCGCATCTCGCCGAGCGCGCTGCGCTCCGCCTCGGTGGCCGCCTCGCTGCTCTCCACGAGCCGCATCGCGTACTTCTCTATCGGCGTGAGCTGTCGACGAGACGACCGATCAATATGCGATGCGATACGAAACTAAACACGACAGGGGCGAGGGCGAGGGCGAGGGCGAGGAGGAGAGCGAGCGGTCGGCCGGGCCGTACCTGCTTCATGAGCGCGGCGAGGTCGCCGGCGTCGTCGGCGGCGCGGGCGGGGCTGGCGGGCGGCTCGTCGTCGAGCGGCAGCGTCTCGTCAAACTCGGCGAGCTCGCCCTGCGCCTCGCAGCGGGCGGCGTGCGCGGCGGCCGCGTCGGCCTCGTCCTCGGCGGCGGCCAGCGCCGACTCCAGCTCGCCGCCGGCCTCGGCGCCCGACGAACTTGGAACGTTCTCCGCCTCCGCGCCGAATAGTTCCTTGATGTTAGACTGCAACCGAGTAAATTTCACTTTTATATTTGCATGTGATCAAGTATGAGTCGAAACCGGTGATCTGCGAAGCGAGTACCGTCTGCGAAGAGGATTGAAAGTAGACGCTACTGAACCCCGACGTTCAGTAACTGCGAGTAGTACATTTCAATATCTGATACATTATCTAGGCGAAGTACTCGTCGCCGATCCAAGCCCGATCAATTCAAATTCTATTAAATTACAACACATCTAAGCTACTTCTAAGGAAGCCGGTAATATAAAAACTGTTGCGACTCTGTTATCGATTTGAAACTGTGGTTTAGGGTGATTCTGTCCCCGGTGCCATAAGACTATCGATCGGATGGACTCACGAGTTTCAGGTAGGAGGTGGTGAAGTGGCCGCCATCGATGGCGAGGTCGCCGAGAGCGCGCTTCTGGTCGGCCTTGCGCAGGATGTTCTCCTCGACGGTGGCGGCGGTGACGAGGCGGAACACGTGCACGTCGCGCGTCTGGCCGATGCGGTGGCAGCGGTCCTGCGCCTGCGCGTCCATGGTCGGGTTCCAGTCCGAGTCGTAGAACACGACCGAGTCGGCGCCGGTGAGGTTGAGGCCGACGCCGCCGCTGCGCGTCGACAGAATAAACGCGAAGATGCGCGCGTCGCTGTTGAAGCGGTCGACGAGCGGCTGGCGGCGGTCCACGCGCGTGCTGCCGTCCAGCCGCAGGTACGTGTGGCCGTGCATGGACAGGAACGCCTCCAACACGTCCAGTACGCGCGTCATTTGCGTGAAGATCAGCACGCGGTGCCCGCCCGCCTTAAGCCGCCGCAGCAGCCCATCCAACGTCTGCAGCTTTCCTTTAAACGATATCGTTCCCTTTTATTACACCGTTTTAACATGAAACTGTTGAACGAAGCGAGTTTTTCTACGAATTAAGGAAAATCATAGTTTCTTTAGGGAATCCTACTCGAAGGACCAATTTTATACACGGTCTTATCCGGCGGTACCGAATTAACTGGATTATATAGACAAATCGAAACGAAAGAAATTCGTAATCGGTTCTTCAATGATAATCAGATTGGCAAACAAACAAATTGATGGAAAACGGTAACCGCCGCCGAGATATGAGTAACACGACAGGATTACAAACGCATCAGTTTAAATAATCGCTCAGAGCTAGTACTAACCGCAATCGTACTGCAGCAGGCGCGGGTGCGGGAAGGCGACCGCCTGGCGCGAGGCGGGCGCGTGCAGCAGCGCCAGCAGCGCGCGCGCCGCGGGCGCCAGCGCCGCCTCCAGCAGCGCGGCGCGGCGCCGCCAGCCGCGCGCCGCCTCGCCCGCGCCCGCCGCCAGCCGCGCGCCGCCCGCCACGGCGCCGCGCCAGCACACGCTGAACCTGAAAATGTCGCATATTACATTGCAATCATTTAGAAGCGGGCGAATTTAACGTCACCACCGTAAACTCGTAACGCCGTATACCTGTCGATGACGTCGTGCAGGCGGTCGAGCAATGTGGTAAAATCGACCGGCGGCACGGGCGGCGGGCCCGCGTCGACCGCGGCGCGCAGGTCGGCGCCGTAGAGCGGCAGCCGCCAGCAGCGGCGCTCGTTGACGGCCGCGAGGCGACGCAGCGCGGCGCGGCGGCGCGCGGCGAGGCGCGCGGCGGAGGGCGCGGCGGGCGGCGCGGCGGGCGGCGCGGGCGCGGGCGCGGCGCGGGCGGCGTGTGCGCGGGGCCGCGGCGCGGGCGGCGCGGCGACGGCGGCGGGCGCGGCGGGCGCGGCGCGCGGCACGAGGCGCAGGTGCAGGCGCAGCGCGGCGGGCGGCGGCGGCGGCGGCGCGAGCGCGGCGCCGGTGGCGGCGCCGGCCAGCTCCTCGACGAGGCGGCGCGGCGGCGCCAGGTGGCGCGCGCGGTGCGCGGCGAAGGCGCCGGCGCCGGCCAGCTCGAGCGCGGCGAGGTCGCCGCCGAGGCGCGCGGCGCGGGCGGCGCGGGCGGCCCAGCCGCCGCCGAGCGCGAGCGCGGGCGCGCGGTACTGCAGCGGCGGCAGCTGCAGCGGCGACGCGACCGGCCGCGGCTCGAACAGGTCCGGATGGTTGCACACCTTGCGCAGCTGCATCAGTACGTTGATCACGCTCAGCAGGTTGCCTGACGCGAGGCTCTCCTTGGTCCTGCGCGGAAAACGTACGAGTTACGGTAACGAGCGCCTCGCTACTCCGACACCGATACGTATCTACAAAGATTGAGATATTTGTATTCAATTGTAATGTTTTATAGTATTTGTAGTTAAGCGTGTTGAGTCTCCCATCCGAGAAATAGGTATTGGCGATCCGCACGCATGCTAAAAGTAAAGGAGTTAAGGGGCCGCCTAAAAATCAGCGCTATGTAGGTACATCTCGTTGGAGCGTGCATATATAGCAACAGCTGAGACAGCTCCTATTACCAGCAACATTAATTGTTTTTTTTTTATCTTTTGTTTCAATTTTTTATTTTCTTAATACAGGTATTAAAGGTTATCTATCTAAAGTAAAAAAAATCAAAATGGCCGTCAATTTTAGTAACATTCATCCATATTTAAAGTATAATTCACATTAAAATTTTACTAATTAAGCAACATCAAACAATTATAATAAAAAATTATAATAAATCTGCTGCATTGTCTTGAAATAATATTACTAATGATGATAATATGATAGTAATTCTCTACCAGCTCGATAGTCGATAGATTATATAAAGGTGTTTCCATGCATCATAGCTCTGGAGGATACTCGAACAATTATACAAAACCGATAATGCAGTTCGAGTGTTCATGGAGGCATGCATGGGACAATAAACGATCCTTACTATCCAGGGCATTTGACGCATCCCACTGAGTAAATTAAGGTTAAGAGAGGTATTCCTCATCATAATATATTATAATATCGTTGTGAGTGAGGCGGATGTGAAACGGTCTATCTGCCAGAAATTTCCTTGTCGAGCGCGAATAAAATCTGAGCTCATAACGGCTGAGTCATACCCTTACTCCTCTACACTTTTGGCGTGCTCAAGTGGTCTCCAACCGATATCGAAGCCTTGGATCGGAAAGTCCGCACCTATATGACCCTCCACAGAACGCGTCATTCGAAGTCGTTAGTCATGAGGCTATATATCTCGCGAAAAGCTAACAGTCAAGACCTATTAAGCCTTAAGACCATGCATAACCGCGAGGTTAACAGCCTCAGGACATATTTTCTAAAGAGATGAGGGTATGCATAGAGGTCATAGAATGTGACAACGGATTCACCCCTCTTTTTCTGGCTAAAAAGGATTGGCAAAAACCTAAGGTGCAGGTTGCCTTTCAACGGGAGGCCGTATGGAAAGAGGAGTCGCACGGAAGATGGTTCAAAGCTCTTCACGGGCCATACGTCAACACAGACACTTCCGTTTCGTCGTTTGGCTACAATTGTCTTAATAGAGTTTTCATAGCACAAGAAATGTTTGCAGCAAGCACTTTGTGACATCACCCCTCGAACGTGTTGGGAGTCATTAATTGATTACATATTTGAGATTTATAACTATGTTGAACAACATTATGACCTCTTTCCGAAAATCAAGGATATATCCACGTTTGTAATGCAAAGATTAGTATTGGATGATATCTCTCGGCCCGCTTTGTATCGAAACAATGGGCCTACTGTGTACATAAAAAAATATATAACAAATTTAGTACAAAACAATTGAGAGCAAAATAATAGTAGTATGAATGTTGTGTTGTGTTGTGTCGTGTCGTGTCGTGTGGTGTCGTGTCGTGTCGTGTGGTGTCGTGTCGTGTCGCGTATACCTGGCGCGCGCCATGAAGTCGTCGTAGAGGAAGCGCTGGCGGCGCGCGAGGCGGCACAGCAGCACGTGGTCGTACTTGCGCGGCATCTGGCGCTCCACGTCGGCCTTGAGGCGGCGCAGCAGGAAGGGCCGCAGCACGCCGTGCAGGCGCCGCACCAGCGCCTCGTTGTAGCGGTGCGAGCCGTCCGCGATGCCCGCCACCTCGCTGAACCACTCGCGGAACTCCGAGTGCGACGCGAACACGTCCGGCATCAGGAAGTGCATCAGCGACCACAGCTCCAGCAGGCTGTTCTGCAGCGGCGTGCCCGTCAGCAGCAGCCGCCTGCCCACCACGTATACCGATCATAACCACTATCTCCACCGACAAACGACCATACCCATTAGCCTAAACATAATTCTATTGCCGATGACTTGCGCCTAGTGTTGCCAGGTGTCCCGATTTGCGAGGGACGCGTCCCAATTTGTAATGAAAAAGTTAAATGAAAAGCTTTTTCATAAAAAAAAATATATTTACGCTAAGTATATTACTACGTATTGTGTATATTTACACCTAAAGTACAATTTTATTTTATAATTTCTACTAGTCCAGCAAGACTGATTACTTGTTATGTAAGATTAAATACATATTTAATTTTGTTTACTGTCCCATCTACAACAAATTTAAAACAAATCAAACCTAGCAACATTACTTGCGCCATATGTTTAAAAGTATTAATGTTAGTTGCAAATATAGCCACCACTTCAGTACACTTGTGTTTTCTTGCACCCTAAATTGATATACAAAAGTGAAGATTAACCTACAAAATGTATGATCCTTCGAGCCGGACTACCCGAGAACTGCATTGATATCTATTCACCACTGCGTCGACCCTTTCCGCGAGAGTATATCGTCGGATTATATTAGTCCGATAACAATGAAATTTAACAAATTGAATGATCTACGCAAGTAGAACTATTATTTAGTGGATGGAAGCCAGTGGCAATGCTCCGAAGAAGGCCAAAGCGATTCCATCAAATAGCAAAATTTTGGCAAGTTTTCTAGAACACACTAGATATAATCTTAATAGATTTCTTCAAAAAGGAAAAACAATAAATGGAGAGTATTGCGCCACACTCTTGGACCACTTGAATTAAGAAAATAAAACAAAACTGCTTTATATGGTCATGATATTATTTCATTAGGATAATGCTCCTGGCCATTCTTTCCTCATTGCAATGATCAAGCTGGTGGAGTTACGATATGAAATGATTCCCTATCCACCATATTGTTTCAAGTGATTTTTTGAAACATGAAAAAGTTACTTAGGAGACAACAATTTCGAGGTTATCTCTGAAACTAAGGAATATTTTGAGGAGCTTGGAAAAGATTACTATAACATCAAAAACTTCAACATCATTAAATCAAGAGTTTCAAAAGGAGATTATGTTGAAAAACAAATGACACTCATTCAAAAAAGTAACTCTTTGTTTCATTTTTACCGGACTTATCAATCCACCTTCATAGTGTTAATCTACAAATAATACCAAATTCATCAATTCAGTAAATTTAAATAATGAATAGAAATAGATGATTGCTGAAACTCACCTTTCAGTTTGAAAATTTAACAACATCTGCCACCTCTGAGATTTAAAGTTTTTAATATTTTGAGCTTCGTCCAGTATAAGATATTTCCATCGCTTTCTACGAAAACTTTGATGGTCCTGCACTACAAGTTTATACGAGGTTATGCACACATGAAAAGAGTTCACTTTAGTCCAGCCGACACGCTTGAGCTTGCGCTCCTTGATGGTGCCGTAGTAGGTGAGCAGCTTGAAGGCGGGGCACCACTTCTTGAACTCCATCTCCCAGTTGAGCACGAGCGAGGTGGGCGCCACGACCAGGTGCGGCCCCCAGTCGTGCCGCTCGAGCGCCAGGTGCGCCAGCAGCGCGATGGTCTGGATGGTCTTGCCGAGCCCCATCTCGTCGGCCAGGATGCCGTTGAGGCCGCGCGCGTGCATGGTGGCGAGCCAGTGCAGCCCCACGTGCTGGTACTCGCGCAGCGCGTGGCGCAGCAGCCGCGGCACGGGCGTGCCCACCGCCGTCGACGACAGCGTCGTGCCCGTGGGCTGCAGCGTGGCCGCCAGCGACGCGGCCGCCTCCACGCGCTGCTCGCCGCCCTCCGCCGCGCCCTGCACCAGCGCCTCGAGCGCCTCGGACGCGGAGCCGGAGCTGTCCTCGTCGCTGGACTGGTCCGAGGGCGCGGCGGTGCCGGTGCCGGCGCTCGTGTCGGCGTCCGTGTCGGTGTCGGTGTCGGCGTCCGTGTCGGAGCCGGGGCCGGGGTCCGCGTGGCCGGCGCGGCCGCAGCGGCGCACGAGGTCGTCGAGCCCGAGGCGGGCGTCGTCGCGCAGCGCGGCCAGCTCGGCGGCGCGGGCGGCGCGGGCGGCGGGCGACTCGCGGCGCTCCTGGCGGGCGATGGAGCGCTCGTCGTCGGCCGAGTCGTCGCCGCCGGGCGCGTAGTCGGACGGCGGCGGCGAGTGCGCGCGCAGGTAGCCGGGCGGCAGCAGGTCGCCGAGCTCGAGCCGCGACTCGCGCCGCAGCGCCTCGAGCTCGTCGCGGTGGTCGGCGGCGTCGTGCGCGGCCTCGCGCTCGGCGGCCGCGATGGTCTCCTCGTCGTCGTCGGACGCGTCGCGCGGCTCGAACTCGTCGTCGGAGGGCGGCGTGTCGGGCTGGCCGCCGCCGGACAGGTTGGCGGCCAGTTGCTGCGAGTACCGCTCGGTGCGGTCCACGATGTAGCTCAGCTGCTCGTCCAGGGCCTCTTTACGAGCGCGCTCCACCCGTCGCACGCGTTTCCATTCGACTAGCTGCAATAACACCGAGTATAAGGAAGTCTGCTTAGCAGCTGAACTGACATGTCTATGATATGATAGTGTATTATGGCACTAAAATCAGAATATGTATATGTAAATGTTTTAACATTGTATGATGGGTATGGTATAAGTGACATGCCAGATATCTATATCCACAGATATCCAAGTGAAATAAAAAATGTATTGTACCTTTATCTGTATCTGTAATTTTTTTTTTTAATTTTGAATGGATCTTTTATCTTATTAAATGTTACTAAGTGTATGAAATTCTAATTATATAAATAAGTATTCCCTTCTGAACTTGTTGTAGATATTGTTAGATAGATAGATAAATTATTTATTCACCATTACAAGAGCACATAATTATTTAATTTATAAGTGAAACAAAAAACTTTTAGGTGGTTTATAATAGACCTAAAAGAGTGTGGACACTCCTTGTCGCCCGCTGCTACCTATCATCACCCCCTCTCAAATAACCTATATGTACAGACATTAGTTGTTTCTGTAGTTATGACGAGCACAAGACAAGTGGTATTTTGTATGAAATGCTGGGTGTGTCTGTCTGTCTAGTTGATTACTATTACATTATGCATAAAAAAATAGATTGGAGTAGTTACTTTTGATAACAATAAAATTTCATTTCAGCATTTTTAGAGTATTATTTTACAACAACATAAGTAACAATTTATTTAAGTTTAGTATGTAATTACACGATTTACCTTTTCAACATTTGACCAAAATGTCCGAATTTCTTTTGCAGCGAATGCCGCAATCTTCCGTAACTGTAACTCCTGTGCTTTTTCAGCCTTCTGTGCCGCCATTGCTTTATCTTGAAAGTATTTTTGAACTGCACGAGCACACTGAAAATAAAACGGTTAAAAAAAAATAACTATAAAGAGCTCTCATTAGTTTACAATGGTCTCGACAACAAAAACAGTCCATTGACATCATTATCCTAACAAAATGTGTCTAGTAACATCTGAACCGACGTACCTTTTTTGCGGCCTGTTTCTTCCATTTACGCTCATGCGCAAAGTCCTGCGCGAGCCAGGCCATCTCTTCGAGCAGATAATCCCAGTGTGTTTTAGCACGAGGAGGTTCCATCACTCGCGGCAGTCGCCGCTCGGCCCACAGGCCGGCGCGTGTGAGTTCTGCCACCCGCGACGCCACGTACGCCTCCTGTTTCGCCTTTTCGACCATCTCATCGGCCGCGGAGGGAGGTGCGGAGGGCGTAGACGGAACGGGAGGCGTGAGCGGCGCAGATGGCGCGGACGGCGCGGGCGGCGCAGGCGGCGCGGACGGCGCGGGCGGCGCGAGCGAAACGGGCGGCGTGAGCGGCGCGCGCGTGGCAGGCGGCGGCGCGGCAGGCGGAGGCGGCGGCTCGGGCGGCACGATGGCCGGCGGCGGCGACACGATCTGCACGGCGGGGGGGCGTCGCGCCTCTAGAAAAGCGAGCAGCTGAGGTGCCGGAGGGCGTTTCCGCCAAGCTACGTAATCCATCATATTGCCACCGGCCTGGAGAAAGTAGAGCTCACTCAGTTGTTCCGTTATCCTGGAATAAAAAATAATGCTGTGTAAGTTGTAGCCCGCATTTGCATGGAGTAGGAAGATGATGTAAAAGAAAATGAAAACTCAACAATGAATGCATTGCTTTTCCGGTGGTTTTCTTGAGTCTAACTTTGTAATGGCATCTATTAGCTTATTGGTGTATCCATATTTATACAGTAATCATAATTAGGTAATACGATCGCAATCTGATGTAATAGTTAATTTGTATCTGTTCATCAAAAAGAATCTGTAAAGATCGAGTGTCGGCAGAGAGGTATATCTCGAACTAGGGAATATGAACATAGGGCTCCAAATAAGGAGGCGTTTTACTACTAGTTGACACACTTAGCGTGTGATTCGGCAATGCTTAGTCGCCTCTTAAGACACCCACGGGAAAGGAAGGGATGGCCTATGCCGGGACCACATGGCCATCGACGGCTCTAAAATACTTAGTATAACTACATGATTGATGTGCTTTCATACGCCCTGCGTCATCTCTTTCGGCCGGTGATCGGTCGTCCTTCGAATTGGGGACCGGTAGACAGTAGAGGTCGCCAGATCGGAGGCCGACCACATACTCATTTGTTGCAGTATTCGGCCGTTCATTTATCTTCCTAATACTCCTCAAATATTGCGTTTAAATTGCGCCCACCAAATGCCCTCTTGTATAGGCATTCCGCCACTTGTATCCAATAGCGAGGACGGGATGCCTTAAATACCTATATATAATGTACCTCAAACCATAAAAAAATAAAAATAAAACTTAGTATTGTTTATCTAATATTCCCTACATCCCTTGTAGATAAATGGGCGTATATAATGCAGTGTACTGTGATCCCTTTAAGCACATCTACAGTTCTGTGTTATTGCCTTCTTTTACTCATCTAAATATTATCCTGCAATAATGTTTAAACCCTCGACGCAAAAAGAAGCGTGTTATAAGTTTGACCTGCCTGTGTGTCTGTTTGTGCATTGTAGTTCCTAAACAAATGAGCCGATTGAGATTTTTTTTTGTTTGAAAGCTGAGGTAATGGAAATTCCTTAGATTATGATCGTTAGCTGCATTTTATGAAGATCTGTTCAGGTGTTTCGGGAGTTACTTAATTTTTTTTTTATTTATGTGTGTACCATGCTATTTACATCCTAACTTTTTTATAGGTTTTTAAACAGAATAGATTAAAATACATTTTATTTCTTTATATTATTTTATCATTTATTATGAAATAACAGTGATATGCAATAATTTACTCACCTTTCACGCAAGCTTCTCTGACGCAGAGCCTCATATTCAAGAATCCGTTTGCGAAGAGCGTGCACCTCATCGCTGGATATCTTTGGCCTTTTCCGAGGCGGCTCATCGATACGTTCAACGCCCGCTGTTCCACCGTTGAGGATCCCGCCCGGTGCCGCGCTGCCGCCACCGCTAGCGCCGACGCCGCCGCCGCCGCCGCCGCCGCCGCCGCCTCCGCCTCCGCCGCCACCGGCGGAGATCCCGATTCGTTCCACACCCTGAATATAATTCATTGTAAGACTCTAACATGATCTCAATATCATATTACCTCACTAAACTACAATATTATCAACTTACTAACTTATCTATGTTACAGTTGTTGTCAGTATAAGTATTACTCACATTTATATACATATGTCGTATCATGTATGACTTTTCAAATTGTATATGACGTCACTCTTGCTAGTAAGAGAACGGACCCACCCCTACACCACGTTTTAAATTACAAACCTATGAACTTTTTTTTATATGGATATCCTTTCAACAACAACATACACAATAAAAAAAGGCAGATGTAAAACTATGTAGAGTATGTGTATTTTTTTATGAATGACTAACGACCCGCCCCGGCTTCGCACGGGTGCAAAGCCGCACCGCTATGTCCTTGCATTTTAAATCTGTAATATCTTCGGAAATATTCATTTAAAATATATTAAATGGACAATGTATTTAAGGTACTTAACCCTAGAAAGATAATCATATTAATTAAAATATTAAAAATTAATGCGGTATTGCTTAAAATCACTTCGTAAATAAGCCATTTTTTCCCGTAAAATGTTATTGTTAAAAAATGGTTATTGTGGATTATCCTTAAGAGATAGACATATACCATCAGGGACTTTTTTGTTAATCTTTTTAAGGTGTACATGTACTTACAGTACATTAATTCTTTATAAAATAATTTACTTTTTATTTTTGATTTATCTCGTGGGGTTCAGCCAGCGTTTGCAATGTAAGCGCAAAAAATGTGTTAATTTGCGACATCACATTAGAGACCTCTAAATTTATCAGTGTTTCTCTACAATATTATGCATGTATTATACATATAACCTTCCTCTCGAATCACTTTATCTATTACAAAAAACCGCTTCAAAATCAGTTGTGGTGTTTTAAAGATTTAAGCATACATAGGGACAGACAGCGACAGCGACTTTGTTTTATACTATGTAGTGATAATGGAATTATAGCCCCACCTGCGCTCTGGGTATACGTTGGCGGGGTACCGATGACGGATGTCAGTTGAAGATGAAGCAGGTCTATGAGCCCATTGTGATCAATCATTAACCATCCATCAAGAATTAACCATGATGGTTTCCAGAGGGTACCCCGCGTGAGATCAACCTAGGACTTTGGGTATATTGCTAGTAATGGGACTGTTAGATATCATTACTAACAATCCCTTTCTCCCCCGGATATGTGTATTAGATATGTAGATACATAGCAAAGAAATGATAAAGTACACAAATATCTTTGTAGAGAGCATGTCTGGCTAAATTCGTGTTGCTAACCCTGAAAAAGGCCCGACGGTATTCCTTCAATTATGCTTAGGACCAGCGCGCCAGTGTTAGTCCCGGCTCTTACCCGTCTTTTTTGGCTTTGTTACTAATCAGGTTTTGGAAAACTGCTCTGGTATATCTAATCCCTAAAAAGGGATTCTCAGATTCAGCTAACTATAGGCCCATAGCTATTACTTGCTTATTCTCGAAGGTTATGGAATCTATCATTAACCGTAAACTGCTCCGAAACCTAGAAGAGCACCAGCTGATCTGTGATCGCCAGTACGGCTTTCAACAGGGACGCTCGATCGGTGATCTTTTAGCTTATTTAAAACACCGATGGGCAGTGGAAATCGAGAATAAGGGATAGGCCTTAGTTGAAATTACCGAAAAACCGCTTGAAATTGTATAAAGTTCAAATCAGGTCACATACGGAATACTGTTCTCACCTATAGGCAGGAGCGCCACAATACCAGCTCCTTCCGTTAGACCGCATTCAAAGTCGCGCAACACGAATTATTGATGATCAGTATTTACTCTCCAACTCGATCTACTGAAACTGCATAGAGATGTATTTCTGTACATCTTCTATCAAATTTAACATGGAGTGTGAGAGATTCTTTGGATTGATACCTCAGCAGCAAGCATTTTTACCAACGTACAACCCGCCTCAAACTAAAGTTTCATCACAACCATCTGGATATGTGGCAGTCTATCACCATATGTTTTTCAAAGCACTTTCTTCCACAACCACTCTTTGGAATCAACTTCCCGCAGCAATATTTCTAAACCGATATGACATCATAACCTTCAAGAAAAGAGCATATTGTTTTTTAAAAGGCCCGCAGCACACATACAATGCTTCTTCGTTGTAGGTGATCATGGGCGGCGGTAGTCACTTAACATTAGGTGAGCCGCATGTTTGTTCCTCCCATGTTATAAAAAAAATCTCAATACACTGTTTTCCAAAAAAAAAAGGGAAGGGAGGATTAGCAACATATTTATTAGTATAAACATCTTATCAGGTTGACCTTCACATGGTTCCCCCTGGGAACCATAGTGAAAGGAACCATATATATCAATATCGTACACGGCTCAAGTGGCTCTCTATCCATTTCTTGAGGAGAGCAATTCTTATTTTTAACGCAGTACTGACAACCTCCAACTCATAATTCCTACTCATTCATCCTCTTTCTACTCCAAATCCTTTTCCATGCAAGCAGTTCGTTTGTGAAACTCACTCATTACCTGTGAGTTCAATCTTTGCACATTTTTAAAAACTTAATAAAATCCCGCTACCTATCCTTATAATCATTTACCAGCTCTATGGCAAGAGGTGTGATAGTAAAAGGGTGGCAATGATATCTGGTCATATAATTCTCTGGAATACTCTCCATTGTACAGCCAATAGGAAACGGATAAAAAGGTAACATACTGTCTCAAACAAAATTGTCTGTTAGAATGGGTTTATCGACAACTCATATCACTTGACATTATACAGTCAAGTGGAAGGAGCCGATATTGGGGTGTTCCTGCCCAAAGATGTAAACAATATTCCATATGTCAATGTTTTATTTGTCTTTCAGAAATCTGCCTGCAGAAATTAGCTGCAAGATCTTACGACTATAACACAATTGTATTATATTTGTTCATTTTGAGCGTTGTCCATGTAATTAACATAAATATTTTTTTTTTTATGTATTTGTCCTACAAATCTTTATTCAGTGATTTTTTGTGTAATAAAGTGGATTCAAAATTATGTTAAGAGCAATTATTTTTAAGTAAGTAATGCAACTTCTTCATTAGTTTTCTATGAAACATTGTTTTGAAAAAATGCAGATTTTTATTGAAGTCTACATTTTTATTCAAAATAAATAGAAGTAGGATCATGGCATAAATAAACTGAAATAAGCACATTTTCTTAACATAACCATATTTTAAGAAAATCTGCTTATTTAAATAATTTGGAGTTCATTTTTTCATATTAAAGCAAAAGTTTTTTAAATATAAAAAAATCTTCCATGCAAAATTATTTTTTCAAATTCACAAGCTACCTAAGTGGCCTTCAACCAATACATCCAGCCTGTTGTACAATGATAGAACCCATAATGAAACATCTGCTTGCTTTACATACATCAGCCAACATAAAATCAAACCAAAACTAATTTATTATTAATAGGTGTAGAGATATTATAATTATATTATCCTATTAATACTATAAATGTAGAAGTCAACAAATAGATTTATGTATAGTACTATAATTGAACAAGTGTGAATGAAATTTGGCAAACAGAGGGGCCATGATGACGGGCTATAAGTAGAATATGAAAAAACATGTGTTTATAGGTGAGCCCACAGGTTGATTACCATTCTATGCTGTACAAAGCAGACATGAACATTTTAAACTTTATGTATTTTGTAGCACAGTACAAGTGACAATCAACATTTTGATAGTCTACTGTAACAAACCAGTATTGAGTAAGAATTTTGGAGTCAGACAATTTAATAATCATAATTTGATACTTTGCTATAATCATTTGAATCCGTAAGTTATATTTATAGATAGTTATTAATTTATAAATATAAACATTATTTGTCATAAAAGAAATGAAAATAAAATTAACTATTTTTTTTCTTCTATTTTAATTACGAGTTTAATAGTTTTGTAGAATATCAACATTCCAGTACATCAAAATTGGTTGTAAGAAATAGCCGGCTTCTGACACATTAAGATATTGACAGATATGGAAAATTATGATGAATTGGACTAACCATGAGTTGTAGCGCTGGGCCGCGTGTGAGAGACACAGCAGACTCATCACAATCGCTCATGTTGTGACATCGCGATCACTACTGTTGGTCTTCTCGACATATGAATTGTAAACAATCACTTCACCGCACTGCACAATTTTTATATACATATACATTTATTTTTTCCTTATTTATTTCTATTGTATTCACAGACAGAGAAACGAGTCACTGTAAACTAATTAAAAAAGTGAGGTCAGGCTGATAGTCATACATATCACATGAATTACAAACTCGCAATCCATCGTAAACAAAATAATTACAGACATTGAAAAGAGCGGCCATATTGAAGATTAACCGATTTCGTTTGCTGAGACGCGGTAAGGCATCAAAAAATTAATCAAGATTTCTTAGCACTGTCATTGCTCATCATGAAAATAATATGAATACTTAAAAAGAATATATAGTTGATCTAACACTTTATTATAATATTTGCACACTGTATTTATTTAAAAGACATATTTTAAAATTATTAGAAGTCTGTAAGGAAGTCGATTTATTATTCGTTTTAATCAGTGTTGCCAACAATCAACGTGGCGTCAAATTCTCGCTAATAACTAGGACTGCTTAGGATTTTCTAGTTAAATTTTGTGTATTATATAAAAAAAAAAGTTAGTGTATTATTACAAAAATTTTATTAAATTGCCACTTCCCTACTAATAAAAAAAAAAATACAGATTTCTGTATGTACGCATTCTCATGCTTATCAAAAAAACAAAATGGAAAAATATGCCATATTGCGTTCTAGAAAGTGTGCTCTCAATAATTCTCTCATTTCATTAAAATTCCTTTTCATAAATCCATTTTATGCTTATTAATTAATCCTGGCCCATTGATTTATAACTCCTTAGCGTCCTTTATTTTTATAGGCGATATCTATAGATGACGGTTACCATTTTCCATCAGGTGGGCCGTCAGCTTGTTTGTCATTCTAAGTTGTATAAAAAAAAAAATATCTGTCGACTACTGAACATAGAACTCTCCTTTAAAAAACCAGTGAGTGATGATAGATGAGAATAATAAGGCTGGTCAATTAGTCCATCGTGATGAATACATTTGCAATTGAGCACTATGACCGAATCAAAGGCTTTCTCATAATCCACAAACGCCAGACATAGTGGCAAATTATACTCTTCGGTCTTCTGTATAATCTGCCGTAGCGTATGTATGTGTCCTATGGTGCTAAAACTTTTTGGAAGCTAGCTTGTTCGGGTGGCTGGAAGTCGTCGAGTTTGCGTGTAAGACGATTGGTCAAGATTCTCGAAAACAGTACGTAGGCGGGATATAGGTCTATAATTCCTCAATAGGCGTAAAGCACTTCTGCTCTACGCCTCTGGCGTAACACCGTTATGGATGATAAAATTAAATAACTCCTGAAGGACCATAAGTACCAGTTTTCCACCCGTTCTCAGAAGCTCTGTTATAATTCCATCCACCCCAGGTGCCTTGCCGTTTTTAAGCTGTTTGAGAGCCCTTTCAATCTCCTGTAAACTGACGTCCGGATTATCATCGGTATAGTGTGGGGTGACTTTAGCTCTTTGGTCGTTATGCGCATTAGTATGCGGTGTTAACGGCGTTGTGTACAGTTGTCTATAAAACCTCTTAATCTCACTTAAAATCTTAGATGCGGCGGAAATTACGTCACTAGTGTCGGTCTTCAACTTTGTCAGTTGGCTTCGCCCAATAGCCAAATCTCTGGCGAACACTTTGGAATCTTGGTTCTGCTCTATGGCCTGTTCAATACATATAGTGTTGAACTGGCGTATGTCACGCCATATACATTTGGAGATTTGCTTATTAAGTTGTCTATGTTTTTTTTTTTATACAACTTAGAATGGCAAACAAGCTGACGGCCCACCTGATGGAAAGTGATAACCGTAGCCTATAGAAATGAGCAGTATCATGGACATAACAGAGTATACTGTTTTGCCCATGATATCCCCATGCGTTGCCATTCCTGAGGACTCAGGTGTTATTCCTCTGTATCCAGTAAATTCATGCTATATCCGTCCCTTCAAACCGAAACACAGCCATGCAAACACAACTGCTTCACGGTTGAAACACGAATGGGGCAGAGATACCTAAGCAATCAACTTTTGTACAAAGTCTTCTTCTGGTAAATTCTGACTCAGACGTTGAAGACTGGGACCATAATACGCGCCGCCTCCTCATAAGATCCAGAGTGCGATTAGAGAGCTTTTTGGTTCTTTTTGAGCGTTAGTGTTTGCAAAATTTAACTCCCACTGCTTGGACAGTTTCCATCAGCTTAATGTTGATATCGTCCGATCTTTCACAGTTCACTAGACACTGAAAGCGATTCGACAATTCGAGTTGAAAACTCCCGGGGTTTTCGATAAGGGCATACAAAGATCGGAGCATCAACTTCATTAAACGAAACCCTTCTCATACTCCGGACCGGCTATTTTCCATCAAATTGGAAACTAGGCAGAGTCATAGCCCTCCTCTCATCTTTAGAACATTATTAACGAGGGACTTGCGGACGATGAACCCGATACCGTCGAACGGATTGTCAGTCTCCCAGTGATAAAACAAGGTACCGGATTCAAGTATTACCGTATCCTCTCCATGTTTTCGGACTTCAGATAATCCTATGATATCCCAGTGTAACTAGTTCACTTCTTCTTCCACCTCCACAATCTTTTTATTGGTCCTTAAGGTTCGTGCATTGTATGTTGTATGGAGATTCTTAGCACCCCTGCTCCGCCGTTACTGTGACCGCTACTATGACCAGGAATACCGGAACTGCCGGGGACTGGGGGCCGTTGCTTTACGGTGTTTACCATTGGAGAGTTTTGTCAGTACTTGCCGCGCTTGGTAAGCGGGTTGGCAACCACAGTTAGGTCTTTTAAGATATTTTAAGAGGGACGCTGCTGCTTATCTCTCGACCACAAGTTCCCTTAATCGCCTCTTACAACACCCACGGGAAAAAAAGGGGTGTCCCATTCTATGCCGGGACCGACACGGTGGTATAATGTAATGAAATACCTTAAATCTTTCTAAGGTAACTTAACTATTTGTAAGGGACTCTCTAGGTAAAAAAATTCGAAATAGAATAGATGGAATGCAAATTTATATAGTGTGTTGCTGGTTGTATTTATGAGATTGTAATACGTTAGAGAGAGATAGACATATAAAAATGCATCTGCCTTTTGACTAGTCCGTAAATATATGTAACTTGGTTTTCATCATCATCATCTTCCTACCCTTATCCCAATTATTATTTGGGGTCGGCGTAATATGGTTTTATCCATATTACTAAAGGATTGGGCTTATAGTTTCACTTGGTTTTATTGACCCTATAACCCTACAAATTCAAATATAACCTGCTTGCATACTTTCTACATAAATTGTGTCAAATATATAATCAAATAAAATTATCTAGTAAAAATCTAGCAAATGAACATAACTTTTACAGACACATTTTTATACACTAGCCTGCTGTGAACTAAGAAAAATAGCAACTAATAGTGTATCTTTCGTCCTCTTTTAATTAATTATATTTGCATAAGAAGAAAGGAGGCAATCATATGATTTACAGTTTTTATTTTATCAGTCCTTCTATGTAATTCCTTGTTCTTAGGCTCTAGACGGTTTATTTCCGATTTGTTTTAACATTTTGACCGTTATTGCAATGACAATGACATTTGGTATACGTATGATTACTTATCTACACTTATGTGATATACATGTTGCTAACTTCATTAAACACAATAAAATTAAAAATTAACCATATTCATATTTACTCAAAATCGCAATTCTTTAATATTATACCTGTACTGTAATAAAAGATCTTGGATCATAATAACAATATTCTGTATATATTTTTTATGGTATAATCTCGGATTTGGTTTGTTATTGGCTGCGTACTGCAAAAACAAGTACAGTATTGCTGTATAGTCGTTCGCTAATTTGCAAATAATTCAATCGCTTTTTATGTTCAATATTTATTCATACGTTCAGTTTCGTGAGTGAAGTGAAGCGATTTTAAAGAGATGTGTTGGCAAAAAGGGAGCAGTAATTATTTTTTTGCATAGAGTCGAGTTCATGTAGGTGAGTAATATAAACTGTAAATAAGGAATGTTATCCTGAATTATTACCACCAATACATTTGCATTATGTTTAAATTTAATCGATTTTGTGATTAATATTCGTAAATGCAAATATACATGCACCACGTTACTGATTCAATATTGTAATCCACAAAATATTATGTATAAGCCATAATACATGTAATATTTTGGTAGAATAATTTACTGAATTTACTAATTCATGTAGGTAATCAGTCTAAACAATTACGTTACTGTTATAAAATTGGTGGTAGTGCTATTGGCATAGCGCTACTTTATTACTAAGTATATGGAGGCAGTCGGCTACACGAGCCTTTGTAAAATGTGTTGAGGATGCAGTGTCCGGGATCCAGTAGCCATGGTTCATTAGTGTTAGTGCAACATGATAATTATATGCATGAAGTCTTTACATGTAATTGTTACAGGATCTGTTTTGGTCATAACAAGAAGTGGTAAACCTATCGTAAGTTAATAGTACCATACCATATACGGTGTCATGAATATGATGGGTTTTTATCAGTAGTATGACCTCATTATTTTTTGCATTAGTTTAACATTGTTTCATTATTTGTCATTCATTACCTTATCGTACTTTTTTGCAATGAGACTAAACTGTAAGATATATCATTACATTCATGTATGGGCATCAATGTATGGGCTCTACATTTGTTACTAATGTATTATTATGAGATTTTGATATTTAAATATTTTGGTGACATATAGCGATGGGTGTCCTCACAGGTGGGCCATAATCATATTTGTGGTGACATAAATTGTTCTAGCAGAGTATAGGCCAGTGGGCCTTCATATGGTGGGACTTTATTGCTGTGCTTGTGACTGCGTTGTTAGGACATTGATTGATTTGTATAAAAAGTTACTTGGCTCTCTTCATACTCAATTTTTGTCTGAACCATTAAGGCTTTAAAGTGTTACAAGCAAACAACATCAATTTCATGTTTCTAATATCAGCAAGGAGTGATATTGAGCACACATATATTTATGAGTGTGTGTACATACATATAATTACTACACACAATACTGTTGTAGTGGCTGGCAGCCCTTTACACCTTTGTTGTATGTGAAATTGAACATTTACTGATAACAAAATTTGTAATGATCAAAAACCAATAAAAACTGTATGGAACAATAACCAAAAAAGCATGAAATTGTGTACATAGTGAAGTATTGTGTGTATGTTATTTTCAAATTATAATTTTTCAATAAACTACCTGAATAGATATTAGTTTAATAATTATAAATAAATATTTTTATTTTTTTTCATATATTTATTGATATAAGAAGTTAGAAGTCTGTTGTTGTAAGTATAAGAGATGAGTATAAGTAAATTAATTAAATACCATAAATGAAATATATCATACATTATTTTTTTAAAAAATCATGCTTACTGCAAGCACCACAATTGCCATATATCTGACTTGCCCCACCTTATGCCAGAAGTTGGGTACATACATGCAATTTGCCAATTGTACTTGTTGTAAGTCTGTAGTTAGAAATGGAAAGTAGTAAACAAAATAGTTTTATACTTGCAGTTTTCCACATTAGTAAGTCCTACTACTAATATAAATAGTTATTAAAATAAATATATAAAAGTAAATAAATACAACAGTTTGTGAAGATGTATGGACGGACGTTTGTTATTCTCATGTACAAACTACTGAATGGATTTAAATTAAATTTGGTACATCCATGTGTTATACCTCATCCTAACATATAGGATACTAATATATACATGAGAAAACCCCATAAACAATCAACAACATCAGATTTATTATGTTTATGTAAAAAAGTGATTGATTGATAGTTAAATTTCTTGTATCTAGATTTAATTTTAGGTCTTGAATAAGAATCTTTGTAAATTTTTTTATTCCCAGTGAAAAAACAAAGTGTATAGAAGATATCATAGACATACTGACAGACTGCCAATGTAATCATAAAAAGGAGGCAAGGAAATTGTTATTCTATTATATTATTAGTCACATTTGAATTTATATGGAGTTGAAGTTGCAATAAAAATCGGTAAAAAAAACTTTTAAGTTAAACGGTTTTATTTGATGTGCACTGAAAACTACAAAATAAATAAATAGTTACTTACCTATCAACCTACGTAGGTGATCTCGGTCATTAATATCTCTGATGGTAGTGGTTGTCATAACATGAACTATGTCAGCGGTCGAAAGGCAGTTCATGAGAGAACACTAACACCAGGGTTTGCTTGGTAGGTAAACTAAGCAGCCCACACTATAACAAGTAGGTATTTTGACCTTCTAGTTCAGAAATATTTTAGTACTAGGCAGAATAGCTTTTAGGCATATTAGACTAAAATAAAAACGTGGGGCCCATTAACTATTTCTGTATTACTTTCTACTATACTAAGTGTGGATTGCATCGACTTATTATAATCGTCATCATCATCATCCTAGCGGTTTATCCCGGTCGCATCCGAAACCTCATAGCTCCGGAGTCCAGGGTCCGCTGAATCGACTTACTATAATCGTAACTGGAGGTTTGACCATCAATAACCAGCAGTTACGGCTTCACCAGCGAACACCGAGCTCATGATCTACCAAAGTATAAGATATGCTCTGCTATAGGTATGATTTCAGAGGGGCCCCACGTTTTTATTTTAGTCTAATATGCCTAAAAGCTATTCTGCCTAGTACTAAAATATTTCTGAACTAGAAGGTCAAAATACCTACTTGTTATAGTGTGGGCTGCTTAGTTTACCTACCAGCAAACCCTGGTGTTAGTGTTCTCTCATGAACTGCCTTTCGACCGCTGACATAGTTCATGTTATGACAACCACTACCATCAGAGATATTAATGACCGAGATCACCTACGTAGGTTGATAGGTAAGTAACTATTTATTTATTTTGTACTTTTCAGTGCACATAAAATAAAACCGTTTAACTTAAAAGTTTTTTAACCGATTTTTATTTTCTTGTTTTTAGTATTTAGTGAAATTGTTTACCGAATATTCCTCATTCTATTTAATTCATTCAGTGCATCATTATTACATGGTTTCTTACCTGATAATTTAGTACAATCTAATTCCTCAATACATAGCCCTTCCAGAGACTTGACTTAGAGCCATGTATGCTTGTCCTTCCTCAAACCATTTTGAGCCCAAATATACTACTGCATGGTCGACGGTGCTGCCCTGCATTTTATGGACGGTGAATGCCCATGACAAAACTATGGGCAACATCCTTTTTTCAGCCATACCATAATTGAATTTTGCTGGAAACTGTATGGCTTTAGGGTAAATAACGTGCATGCCGTCTGTGCCAAAGTCAATTAAAACTGATGATATATCTGTTTCGTACATTTGGGTTCGACGGAACTGAGGCCAAAAAATTACTGTAATGTGGCCTATAGCGTTATTTACCAATCCTTTTGTAACGTCAATGTTGGACCGCAACATTACTTTTGCACCTACAAATATTTCAAGTACTGATGGTAAGCCTCCAGTCTTATTTATATTTGTTGGTATTTTTTGTTTATTGTTACCATGTTGTTCCCACGATTAAGGGGCATTTTGACGGTCGACCCCCCCCCCCCCCGCAGTCCAGTAAAGGGGCAAGGCTTAATATACAACAAGATGCGCCCAATCTTGAGGGGGAAGCGCTTACGACATTACATTTTTATCCACCCTAATGCCATACAGTCCTCGGCACGTTTTAACCTATTACCTTAACTTGGGTGGTATAACTACCGCTTACTAACGAGGTATCTAATTACCTATTTTTTTTTTTATCTGCCTCTAACGTCACACAATCTTAGACGCAACTGTTCTCGATACGACTAATCATGCCCCCACCTAATACGCCATTTTGTAACAGCGTCCATCTTGAATTTGAAATTTTGACATAATCATCGTGTTTTACTAGTGTAGCCCTTTCATTTGATACCCATATTGCGGGGGTTAAGGAAAAATATGTAATCCGCCATTTTGTATCGGCGGCCATCTTAGATTTATAATGTTATTGATTTTATTATATTGTATTGTCATCTAAATTAAATGTGTGTACCAAATTACAGATCAATCTGACAACGGGAAGGTATTTAAATTCCAATTTCTAATTTTGACCCAAATAAATAAATACCGTACGGGTCGAGCTAAATAAAACCGTTTAATAATAAAAATGCAAAAAATCCTATATTTGTTATAATTTTAATTTTAATTCATGCACCTTTATGGCTTGGATTATATTAGATAGGTATGTTTTTCCACCAATTTTTGTACAAAATATTTCTGATAGTTATATATTATTGCATTTAAAGAGATAAATAATTAACACTTAAAAATGTGGAATTTTGTGGTTTTTTCCTAATTTATGTTGTATACAAATACAACACATTTATTTCTAATCAACTATGTTTACTTAAAATTAACTCCATTTTAAAGTATAAATATATTTAGAACTTGTTTTATTTATACTCTTGTCAAATCAGCTTTGAGCCTATATTTTTTATTTTTCTATTTGTTTGTCTCACTCTGACATATACATTATCATATTTTTCACTTTTATATTATCATTCTATATACCTAATACTGTAAATAAGATATTGATGTTACATTACTTCATATGAAATAAATTTCATTATTTGATATTAACCATATGGGTCTCGATAGGTGGACAAAGATCTCCACCCAGTATGTGTCTACTGATGGACAGCGTAGCCGGGACTGGCCCAGGAAGCGATTGTGTGACGATCTAAGTGCTGGACTAAAAAGGACTGCTTTGAAGTGGCACTGAATGGGAAGTTTAGATAGGAGATGGGGAGACCTATGGCCGGCAGTGGGACATCATGGGTCAGAAAATAATAGATAGATTTAAAATATGACGTAAGGCACGTGTACCACTATATATCTAGTCGAGAGAGCTTAATTTTTAGAATACGAGTACATGTCATAATGACTGTTTCAACCAATACCTGTTTCTGATACTTGTATTACAGTTAAAATCGGGGGTTACATTGGATATATTTTTTCAGGTGGGAGGCGGGGGGAGCATGGGTAGGGGTGCGCGCTGGCGGCTGGCGGCGGCGCTGGCGGCGGCGGCGCTGGTGACGTGGGCGTGGCGCGGCGGCGGCGCGGGCGGCGCGGGCGGCGGGGCGCGGCGCGGCGCGGCGGCGCCGGTGGAGGGCCGCGAGCTGCCGCTGATCTTCATCGGCGGCGTGCCGCGCTCGGGCACGACGCTGATGCGCGCGATGCTGGACGCGCACCCGGACGTGCGCTGCGGCCAGGAGACGCGCGTGGTGCCGCGCATCCTGCAGATGCGGCAGCACTGGGCGCGCTCGCAGAAGGAGAGCGTGCGCCTGGAGCAGGCCGGCGTGTCCAAGGCCGTGCTCGACAACGCCATCGCCGCCTTCTGCCTCGAGGTCATCGTGCGCCACGGCGAGCCCGCGCCGCGCCTCTGCAACAAGGACCCGCTCGTCCTCAAGATGGGCACCTACGTCCTCGAACTTTTCCCCAATGCTAAATTCTTGTTCATGGTGCGCGACGGTCGTGCTACTGTTCATTCGATAATCACCAGGAAGGTGAGTTAGCTAGTATTCGTAAGTCGAGTGGTATTTTAATGACACGTTTTAAGTCTTCAGTCCTCGCATTATGATTCGTTCGTATTAGTATTCGTAAAAATATATTGTATATACATATATTCTGTATTATATGTGTTATTAATTATTAAATAATGTGTATTGTGTTGTATTAATTTGTCGATCGCAATCTCAGGTGACGATCACGGGCTTCGACTTGACCAGCTACCGCCAGTGTTTGAACAAGTGGAACCACGCGGTAGAGCTGATGTACCAGCAGTGCAAGACGATGGGCCCCGACAAGTGTCTGATGGTGCGGTACGAGTCGCTGGTGCTGGCGCCGGAGGACACGCTGCGCCGCGTGCTGGCCTTCCTCGAGCTGCCGTGGGACGAGGCCGTGCTGCACCACGAGCGCTACATCAACCAGCCCAACGGCGTCGCGCTCTCCAACGTGGAGCGGTCGTCGGACCAGGTGGTGCGGCCGGTGAACCTGGACGCGCTGGACAAGTGGGTGGGGCAGATCCCGGCCGACGTGCGCGCCGACATGGCCGAGCTGGCACCCATGCTGTCGGTGCTGGGCTACGACCCCTGGGCCAACCCGCCGCGCTACTCGCCCGCCGCCGCCGCCGCCGCCGCCTCCGCCTCCGCCGCCGCCACGCAGCGCGCGCCGCAGCCACCTTAGACAAATAATAAATAAATTATCACTGTTGTCTTGGTGTTTTTAATTATAGCCCCCACATTGTAAACGAGTGTAGTAGTATGTTGCGCGTTATAATAACGAGACACCGGACCTGCTGTCTCGTCTCATGCGTGCGACAGCGCAGATCTATTAAATGGAATTATTCTTAAAATACATGAATCGATTGATGTGAAGGAATGTTGATACAAATTGTGAATTCAATGTCTGACCGCGTGACAGCTTATTGTAGGTAGATGTTATTATTAAAATTGCGCCTCTTCATAAGGTACCATCATCATATCGGCGTCCACTGCTGAACTTAAGCTTACCCCTTAGTGGGTTTTGCCAATAGTCATGCTTGGCAGGCGGATTGGCAACCGTAGCCAGGCTTTACAGATGTTTTCCCATAGAGAGAGCCCATCCCTCGCCCTCCCTTAATGGACTTATGACACCCACTGGAAAGGCCTATTCTATGCCGGGACCACGTGGCTGTTCTGTAATTGCTGTGGTAACACACCTCGGACACTTCACTTGGACTTCACGATCCGTGATTGTCACAATTACAGAAACTGTATATTTCTGTAGTGAATTGAATGTGTGATTTTGAAAAAGTTATGCCTCGTTCATTCGACTCAATAATTTATTGCATTCTCATATTGTAACAATATAGATCTTAAGCGTTTGAGGTACAGTATCAAAATAATTATTTAAATCTTTGGAAAATAACAAAGGTGTACTTCAGTTAACCAAACTGCTGATTATTATATTTTTTTTAACACGGGGGAAACGAGCATACAGCTCCCTGATGGTAAGTGATAACCGGCGCCCATAGGCACCCGCAACACCAGAGGCATGCATGTGTGCTGCCGGCCTTTTGAAAAGAAATATGCTGTTTTCTTGAAGCTGACGCATATTTGAGAGGGCGTGAGGTTAGACCACAGAGAGCGACAGGGCGTGTGCATACTATACCTAAGTACTATTTACTTTATTACTTATAATGTGGTATTAAGTAGTTAACAAATACGCTCAAAATTGTCAGAATTGACTTCCTCGCGACTGGAGAAAGGATGCAGCTATTGTGATAAACGCAGTGAGTCAGTTGATAGGGCGACGATGAGCCTCCCTACACATTGTGAACGCCAATTTTGCGAAGATTTGTGTATTTACTGCACATATCGTCATAGTCGTAGAATACTGACGGATCTGACAAATATTATATTTTTAGCATCAGAAGTGGAAAATAATAAAAAAAAAAAGAGGACGGTAGCAACACAAATGATTTAATACTTATTATTACAAAATTATAACAATTTTATAAAGATATTTAAATAATAAATCGAACAAATCACCAATCTTAAGTAATTAAAATAATAATAAACCGATTACAGCAAAACACGTCACACACACCGTCTGCGCTCCTCGAGAGTTGGCGAACGAAAAAGACCAATGCTATGAACTACCCGGTTTTTATAGGCTTGGCTCCCCACTCCTTGCCCCACTCCTTGTTTTTAGTAGTCTTAATATCTAACACGGCCTATCCTGACGTAGAGTCGTCCTCGACTCTAGCATCTTCGTCCGTGCTCGATGATAGACACAGGTCTTCCTCTAAGACGTTCTGTGGCGTGCAGGTGCTTCCTTGTGATCCCGATGGTCCTGCTATAGGATCACTATCATCAGAGTTATCTGAAACATATATGAATCATACACACAAAGCTCGCGTCTTTATCACATTCATTCGTCTAACTTTCACTCGTTATTTAAGGTAGGAAAATTAATTCACTTTCATATTTCAATCATAAAAGATCTGGGTTATAAAGAGCTCAACTTGGGGACATAGTGGTAGGTTCTTCTCTTCTCTGGGCTGTTCGAAGTCCAAACTGGCAGAGTTGCTACATCTGTGAACAAATCAGGCAAAGGGCGTCCCCAGTGCCTGCATCAGCAGAGGCATCACTGAATCGCTTGCTGATACCCGTAAAATCTTTACACACCATTGTAAAGCTTTACGTCACCAGTCAGACAGAGGCATCACTGAATCGCTTGCTCTGACCGGTCCGGGATGGAGGCATCACTGAATCGCACATCCCAATGTACCGTGTACATTTGACTTAGAAGTCACACCATATGAGTCTAACAGGTTACCAAACAGCACAATGTTTATAACTCAGCCAGTCACTGTGTATGTGTGTAGTGAAACAGGGAGGTTATTTTAATGGGTTAGTATTAGTCAGTGAACGGCGAGCTTGATATGTGTGTATGATGTAATTTTGTGACTGCCTAAGATACAAACGTGTACATACAAAATAGTAACCGTCAACTTACTTGCAAAAAATGGGGCGCACGTTTCGGGACACCATTCCCCGTGCCACTGAACCATGTATTCTGCTGCCGCTTGTGTAGTCTTCCCGTATGACCCACTCAACAATTTCAACTCATAGCGGCCACTAGGCAAAATCCTGGTGACTTTGTACGGTCCTCGCATTCCTGGGTCCAACTTACCCGTTGATTGCGAGTATTTAATGACAAACACTAAGTCATTGACTTTAAAAATACGAGGTGCACACCGATTTCGATTAACGTAATTATTTTGACATTCCCGATTTTTCTCCAATAATTCGTTGGCCCACGCCCTTCGAATTGCGCGCCAACCTTCCCTATTACATAAAGATCCTTCCATTGCTACGTCTCGTACCAGTAAACGGATAAGTGGCGTCGTTGCTTCGGTGCTAACAAGCAGGTTCAGAGCTGACGTCTGTGTCGTCTTTTGTTTTGTAATATTCAAGATGAGTTGAAGCCTCCATAGCTGATCTGACCATGACGCCATCTTATGGTTGGCTTCGATTCTAATCATGTTAAGTACGGTCCGCACGTACCGTTCTATCTGACCGTTAGAGTGGTGCATCTCAGGTGTTATATAGTGTACTGAACAACCGAGTTCGGAGATGAACTTAGTAAAAATGGACGATTCAAACATTGCCCACGGTCTTTTACTAATAATCTTGGTACACCGAATAATGATATAGCATTAGTGAGTATACGTACAAGTTCGCCTGCGTCTTGCCTATGTATTGCATATAACATACAAAACTTTGTAAAAGCATCTACTATTAGCAACACAAATCTATAACCGTTGGACTCGGGCAATGGTCCTAAGGCGTCTAAGTGCAAAGTATCAAAAGGGGTGTCTGGCTTTTTCCATGAAGTTATTAGCTGGTGTGGAGCCCTGGGTACACGTTTTTTGGATAAACATACTAAACAATGCGTAACGTATTTGTTAACAAATTGTCGTAATCCAGGGAACCAAAAATGTTTAAGTATTAAATCTAGAGTTTTGTCCGCGCCTATATGTTCGTGTCCGTCATGAAATATTCTCAACAAACTTAACCGATGCCCCTTTGGTATAAAACAAAGTAGTCTCGGTTCATCGCCTACTGGAGAATAGCGATAATTAAGGGATTAAAAATAGCTAATATGGGTTCACTGGTTAGACAAGTTATGATTTCTTGACGCGCACGTTCTTGCTCCGGTGTCCAACAAAAGTCAATATTTTTCTTAGTTAGGCGTGATATGCAAGCGGTTTTGGTTGCATAATTTTTTTTATGTAACGTCTAAAATAACCTGACAAGCCTAAGAACTGCCTAACCTGTTTAACGTTTGCGGGAGCCGGTGCGTTCACCAGTGCTTCCACCTTACTCAAAATCGGCCTAACCTGACCTTGGCTCACCATACGCCCTAGGTATTCTACTTGCATCGAGAGAAAGGTACATTTCCGTAAGTTAATAGAAAAGCCCGCATTTGTCAGAGTCGTTAACACGTCTCTCAACAGGTTAATACCTTCTTCGACTGCGTGACTCATCAGTAAGACGTCATCTACGTAAACTAACACATTACCAGCCTCAATATGTTTGCGAAGGGTTTCGTTAATGATACGTTGGTATACAATCGGAGAGTTAGTCAATCCGTAGGGCATTTTCAAATATTCAAAATGACCCTCTGGAATGACAAATGCCGTTCGGTGTATAGACTCCTCATCTATTTGGATTTGATGAAAGCCAGTAGCCATATCTAAACTCGAAAAATATTTAAAGTTACCTAATCGATCTATATGGTCGTCAATGAGAGGCATAGGATAACGGTCTCTAACAGTTACTCGATTTAATGCTCGGAAGTCAACGCACATTCGATCGCTGCCATCTTTCTTTTTCACAAGAAGGATGGGGCTAACATATTCTGAATTTGAATCGTGAATGATACCTTTTTCTTTTAAATCATGTACTATTTCACGAACTTTGAATTTCTCTTGATGTGGTAATCTATACGGTCTATAAGCTATAGGAGTGTCATCCTTAACGACAATACTCATTTTGCCTGTAGTAACAGTTGTTGAAGTTGTACCAGATATCAAATAATTTGAAAAGTCATTAATCACTAACATGAGCAAATTGCGATCATCACCTTGAAGAGGTGTATTGATTTGGTCTTTTGTATTGGGGACTACCGTATACTTGCTGTTGTGTCATAGGTGAACGCGTTAAATATTGTTTAGCTTTAGACCTAACATAAGTGACACCGTCGCGATTAAGTATATCCGTACCTATTATCAAAGGAAATGCGATGCATGACTCTGGAACGACTACAAAATCCGCTTTAAGAGTAATTTCATCAAATTCGATAGTCAACGTTACATAAAAATTGGCATGAATTACTGTTGCACTGATTCCCTTTAACGCACAATTAATAGGTTTTAATTCACATGAAAGATATTTTACTACCCCGGATGATATAAACGAAATATTCCAGGCGCCACTATCAATGGGTGCGTCAACGGGAATACCCTGTATTACCGCTGTTACTACGTCTTTGCTTCGAGAGGGATCCGTTAATAAAAGGGTAGTGCATAAATTTAGGTTTCGTTTATTACGCATATTCGATCTTTCTTTTGCGAAACAATTTTCCTCGCGATGGCCCGGTTTCTTACAAAAGTCACATTTTGTGCTTTTGTATTCGAAGTGACAGATCGCTGCGTAGATTCAGAAGAATCAACAATAGCGTGGGTAGAAACAATAGTGTCCTTTGGCTTTTTCGTGCAATTCAACCTTTTATGTCCAGACTGACCACAGTTAAAACACCTAAGGGGACCTTTCATATGATTTAAAGGTAAGGGGCGCTTTCCTAGATTATTTCTTGTTGCCGTACTATTGCTAGGTTTAACGTAAATATTAAGAAACGACACTATGTTGTCGCAAGTCAAATTAGCATTCGCTGCGGCGGCTCGGATTTGAGGGTCACTAATACCGCGTATGATTATTAGTGTCATGAGCTCCTCACTTAGTCCCTTTACTACACGTAAACGTAATAGGCTACGTCGAGCGTATTCAGCATAAGTACAAATTTTTTCGGAAGTTGTTTTCATAATATCGAATAGTATATTGGCATAGTCAAGTGTACGCGGACAAAGTGGTTTAAATTCTTGTAGAAAATTGGACCATGTCCTTTCATTAGTTACCCACTCGTCTAACCAAGTGCGCGCGTCACCCCTGAGGCATTTCGATACACGTGACAAACACTCCGAATCACTCCACCCGTTAGTATCCTTAGCGCGTTCAACCTCTGCACACCATACCTCGATATTATGAAGTGAGGGATCAAAACTAGACACAAAATGGTTGCGACCGTTGTGAACTAATAGATTTAATCGCGTCTGCTAATGCTTGCGTACTATCTACTACCCTATCTTCGCGGAAAGCTTGATCAACATTGTTAATAATAATATCGGACCGGGATGTGTCCAGTTGGCGATCCCCAGGTGGGGTAGTCACACGAATGGGAATATTCGATACGTTATTTTGCTGTACTTTAGTTACGGTGACATTCCTACTTGGCGTAGAACAGTTAAATGTTACATCGGAAATGGTGGGTAATTCGAGATTATGTTGACAAGTATTATCACTATGATTATTTGTGGAGTAATTTTTTTCTAATGTATTTAATCGCGTCAATATCGCTTGTAATGTTTCTTGCATCGAATTATGGGATACTATGGGTTGGCGAGGAGGCGTGTTAGTACGTTTATTCCGTAACCTAGGCTGTGATGTTTGCATCCTATCTCGCGATCTAGTAGGTGATCTATAAGTCGACCTATGGCGTGATCTAACATGCGATCTACTATGCGACCTATCACGCGATCTACTATCACGGTCGTGTCGACGCGTCTTGCTGCGCGACTGACTCCGCTTATCACAGATAATGTTCAACAACAATTGTTCATGCACATACAAGAAATATAAAAACAAAAGAAGATTGATGCTTTGTTGATCTTATATTAAACAGATCGAAAGTTATAGTGGGCATTTAAGTTCTTTATCCCACTTCTGATTTTAGCATCAGAAGTGGAAAATAATAAAAAAAAAAAGAGGACGGTAGCAACACAAATGATTTAATACTTATTATTACAAAATTATAACAATTTTATAAAGATATTTAAATAATAAATCGAACAAATCACCAATCTTAAGTAATTAAAATAATAATAAACCGATTACAGCAAAACACGTCACACACACCGTCTGCGCTCCTCGAGAGTTGGCGAACGAAAAAGACCAATGCTATGAACTACCCGGTTTTTATAGGCTTGGCTCCCCACTCCTTGCCCCACTCCTTGTTTTTAGTAGTCTTAATATCTAACAATATATATAGATCCGTCAGTATTCTACCACTATGACGATATGTACATACATATATTTAGTCTATTCAAACAAATATGTTTATTCTTTTTCCCATACAAACTTTTTTTTTATTTTATTTATACAACTTAGAATGGCAAACAAGCTGACGGTCAACCTGATGGAAAGTGGTAACCGTCGCCTATAGATATGAGCAGTACCATAGACATAACAGAGTATACTGTTTCGCCCATGATACCCCCCATGCGTTGCCATTCCTGAGGACTCACGAGGACCCGACAAACCGAAACAGCCATGCAAAGTCAACTGCTTCACGGTAGAAACACGAATGGGACAGAGGTACCCAAGCAATCGACTTTTGTACAAAGTCTTCCTCTGTTCCTAATTGCCAGTTAAAACATTTCAGTAACTATAATAATAACGCCAAATATATTAATGAAAAATGAACTATATTTGAAAAGTAGTGTGTGTGGTTTCCTATGTCTAGTATAGTGTTATATTATTTGTGCTTATGTGTTGCCAAATGTGAAATTTTAGAACGGCGAGAATTTTTTGATAAATAAAATTTAGAATAGTGCCATCTATGAATTTCACGAAACATTATCATACCATAAAATTTGTTTCCTAGCGTCATCTCAGTATCTCATGTGGATACTAGATGTCGCTGCTTGTTCTTCAAACGAATAAATCTTTTTCACTTCCGATGTAACTACATAACAGTGGGATAGCATATATATGTATATGTCTATCGTAAATATTGTATATCATCATCATCATCATCATATCAGCCTTTAATAGTTTACTGCTGAATATAGGCCTCCTCCTTGGGGGTCAGGCTTCAGAGATGTTTAAGAGGGACGCTGCTGCCCATCCCTCGCCTTCCCTTAGTTGGTTCTTACGACACCGACGCGACGGGCAAGGAAGGGGTAGCCTATTCTATGCCGGGATCACACAGCCATTTGTTGTTCTATTTAGTGGACAATAAATAAGTACATGCTGTATGGTCCCGGCATAGAATGGGCCACTCCCTTCTTTCCCGTTCGTGTCATAAGAAGCGACTAAGGGAACTTAATGGTCGAAGGATTGGCAGCAGCGTCCCTCTTAAAACATCAATAAAGTCTATGTAACTGCGATTGCCAATCCAAGCGAGGCAACTACTGCCAATACTTCCCTTATCGGGGAGACTTATGGTCAGCAGTGCATCGCTGACGGCTGATATGAATCATCATCAGATGCAATGAATACATAAATAGTAATAAAAATATTTATCTTGTTAATCAATCAATCAAATACTATATTTGCCAAATATACGTGTTACAAAGAGGCGTAAATACTCACATCTGGGTTGGTTTTATTATTTCCTATCATTTGCTGTACAGACCGTGGCCCGTGGGGCTCAGATGCCAAGCATTTTTATCGGACGATCACAACGCGCCACATCGAGGTTACTAATGACTCAAGAGCTGGTAGCTACTTTGCGCAAAAGATAAGTTTGGCGATCCAAAGAGGCCATGCTGCCAGTATCTTGGGTACGCTGCCTCGATGTGGTGCGCTGGAAGACTATTTATATAATTATAAATGTTTAGTGTTGTTTTTTAACAAGCTTACTAGTCTAGTAATCTGAAAGTAATAGGGTCTCATATAAAAGTTCTACATTTGTACTATATAGTTTTTTTATATAAAAAACAAACCATATACAAACTTAAATGTACCAATCACAGAAATTGTAATAATATCACGAAGTGGTAAACATGCATACATCCAGTCTGATGAAAAACAGTTACTGTAGTCTTTAGATACCTGCAACACTAGGGGTGTCACATGCGCGTTGCCGACCCTGAAGAAACCTCTTTACCCCCCTTTTGAAGAACCCCACGCTGTAGTCTCTTGGGAAAATCTCGGCAGGGAGCTCATTCTACAGCCTCAGCATTTATAAGAGAAAATTCCTTTGAAACCACATTGCACGTGATCCTTTATCTTTAAGTATATGAGAATGAATTCCTTGTGGACCACTCTCCCAGTGATCGATGATAAAAGGTGCTTATCTATATCATAATATGAGATACAAAAAGCCTGAGGCTTTGGGAGAAGCTCTCTGTTGGAGATTTTTTAATGGATGATAATGGAGTGGTTAATTTTGCTTGTGCAAAATTAGTATATAGGCAGCAATGATAGGCAACGATGAAGTAGGTTAGACGGCCCATTTGACAAATTTAAAAACAATCATGATGGTTCCTAGGGGCAGCCATGTGAAGGTCAACATGTTAGTATGTATTACTAACAAAGTGTTGTTAATCCTCCCCTTTTTTTTCGAAAAGAGTGTATGGAGTTTTTTTTTATAACACGGGGCAAACGAGCAATGACCACCGCCGCCCATGATCACCCGCAACACCAAAGGCATCGCAGGTGTGCTGCCGGTCTTTTAAGAAGTAATATGTTTTTTTCTTGAAGATTATGTTGTCGTATCGGTTAGGAAATACTGCTGCTGGAAGTTGATTCCAAAGAGTGGTCGTCTTGAGGGTATATTGCTAGTAATGAGGCCATTAGGCCTCATTACTAACAATCCCTTTCCCCCAACAGTTCAAGGTTAATAATTATAGACGATAAATATGTGAGATTGGCTATTTTAGTTATCCAAGATCACATGATAGGGCAAATGACCTCAGAGCCCCAGCCTTTTCAATTCCGTAATCTTATCGCAGACGCCATAGCCAATATCGACTAGAGATATACCATATACTATATCTTTAATGCTTAACTACTAAACTGATGTAGATTGACATTATAGATAAAAATACAGAGTATACGGGATTAAATTATCATAAAATTTTTGTACACGAAATCTGGGATGTCATCTCATAGTAATAGGAGAGCGCGTAATTAGTGTGTAGTGGGGTTGATCGCATCGTGCAGCGTGCATCGTACCGGTTGTGGTCGCGGCGCGCCAGTCAGCTGGCGGCGGGGCGCTCCGCGCCGCTCGCGTCCGTCGCCGCCGCCGGCTGCCGCGCCACGCTGCACGGCCGCTCTCTCCACTAGTGTCGTGTTTACTCTCCACGAGGAAACTCGTGTCGTTGGCGAGCTGAGCTTTTACGCACGTGTTCTTACGCTAACATGTTTTTTTCGCAACTTGCGGGTTTATCGCACAAGATTAAATATATAAGATATCATCAATGGGCAGTCGTAGTTGTCTATTCTTCATAATAGTGCAGTGCTTATAGTGGCGTAAAATTGACGAGATGCAGTGTCGATTACTATTTTATTGTGGTCGGTAAACGCGGTCCGAGTGATGTTCGGAACCATAAGCCTGGCCGTGTGGAGTGTGTGGTGGGTGGCGGCCGGCGGTGTTCAACCGCCTTTACTAAACGTACCGCTTTGCTGTCCCGCCGGCCAAGAATTAGGACAAGAGGCAATTTCGCGCAACTTAACGCAAGTTCTGTCGGTCGCAGACGCCATCGAAGCCTGCCAGCCCTCCGACAGACGAGACCCGTGGAAGCCTCGCATCTATGCCCCAGCGAGAGGCTCTTTTATGGTGCGGTTGCCGGCTCACTGGCACTTGGCGTACGGAGCCATCCCCGACTGCGATAAGGTTCGCGTGCTTCCCGAGCACGCAGCAGCGTATGCGTTGCTCGCTAACAATGGCTCTCTGTGGTTACGCAGTGCGGCGCTCGCGTTGCCGACGAGCGTTTACTGTGCTGATGCAACCGCTGCACTAGTCTGTGTCGAGAATGCTCCCCATCCGCCTTCCAAGTGTTGCCCCGAAAACAGAACGTTCGATGGAATCAGATGTATCGATGATGAACGCCGTGCGGCGAAGACGGTGCTAGAATTGAACGCTCTCGCGAATGGTAGCGCGGTCGGAGTCGGGTGGCCGGCGTGCGCGGAGGGGCTGCGTTACGCGGTAGCGGGAGCTCTGCGAGGAGCGAAGCTAGATAAGGAGGGAGGACTTCAACTAGTGCAAGGAGAGTGGCTCGCGGCCGGCGCTTGGTGCGCTGAGGCCGTGGTGGACGAGGACGAGCCACGAATCCTAGCATGCGAGGCGGCGGCGCGAGCCACTAGACCAGCCCAGGCCACGCGGCACGCGCTGTACGGCGCCGGGCTGGCAGTGGGCGCGGCGTTCCTGGCGGCGACCCTGGCAGCCGGCTTCGCGCTGCCCGCCGCACACCACGCGCTCCACTGGCGCTGCCAGACGCACTACGTGGCGGCGCTGATGCTGGGCGACGTGCTGCTCGCCGCCACGCAATTGGCCGGGGACAGGGTGCCTCCGACGCTATGTCGAGCTCTCGGTGAGTTCCGCCCTTTTAATACCTACATCGATGTACGATATGGTAAAGTACTTCGAATACTTTAAAATTCTTACATTGAATTGTTTTGTTTTGTTGTGTTGCATGGTGCAGCGGTGTGTATGCACTTTCTGTTCCTGTCAGCGTTCTTCTGGCTCAACACGATGTGTTTCAACATATGGTGGACATTTAGGTGAGTTTTAAATGTAGGAAGATTTATTGATCACTTACAAGATATTTGAAGTACATTTCAAACCATTATCATCATAAACTTCCTTGCTAGAATTATTGGATCAACATAGAGAAGTTGAGTAAAAGAACAGAAACAGTTGGACCGAGATAAGAATAAAATGTCCTTTTAAAATTGGAAACTACTCGGTACTAATGTGCACCTGTACCTATTCGCGTAACATTCAATTATTTTCTCTTACTTGATATTTAATTCATATTGAAAGAAGAGAACGAATTTATCAGCATATAAAAAGAGATTATTATATTTTATGCAGAGAATTTAAATAAATAAAATAAAAATAACGGCAAACAATGAGTAGGATACGCTTGACATCTATTGCCTCATGACGCCGATATTTATTAATTTATTTTATTAAGCACATTACAAAAAAATGTTTTGGTACAGAAGGCGGACTGAATACTATATAGCGTTCTCTCGCAGCCAACTTAATCTTTACGCATATGCGAGAAGTACAATCCATTGTACTATGCGCTCGTTTAGTTAAATGATATTGATTTTAACTTAAAATTTCTACAATCTGTTTTATTATAAACTTAATAAAAATATAAAAAAAAAAGGAATTGATCCGAACATGAAACTACACTTGGGTAATGTCCAATAGTAGTAGAAATAAAACATCGATTAATTGTATAAATGCTTCAATTGGTCACTGTTCATTTACACTGTGTCTCCGAGTTCTGTACCATAAATATTATTCACAACGTTTCTACTTTCACACCTTAAACAGTCTAACCAGTTACTTACAGAGATGGATGCAAAAGATTTAAACGGGTTTTAGTTATTAATATAAACTTTATAGTAAAATAGTTGTTTCGTGTCGGCTACGTCTCAGTGTTCGTAATCGCAACCTTCCAGCCTGTTCTGAATCTCGGCTTGACGAGATTCGGAACGAAAATATACGACTAATTATTTACACGTACATGCAAGTAAAGCTCGTTTAAATCTTTTATATGCGAGTACAGCAAACAGTTTATAAAGTTAACCAAATTGTGTTCAAAATAATTATCTAGAAACAAATACTTATTATTATAATCATTGTAACAACCCATTGGTGTCCCACTGTTGGGCACAGTTTATTTCATATCAGCAGGCTATTATAGCGCTGGCTGGGTTACTTTATGAGATTTCACTATGAACTCGACTTAGTGAGGGCTGGAGTCGTTACTAACTAATAGTTCCTGCCCTCGGGCTGACTGGAATGCGCTGGTTTATAGGTAGTCTGTTTCTTATTACGACACCTTCTCTCTCTTAATCTTTTATGTCATTCTTAACTTATCGTCCACCACTTTCGTTCGTTTGGACAATAATTATAAAACGCATATGTAAGTTTGAAGGTTTTAAATAATTGCACGTTAAGAAACATGAAGAAAATTAAAATGTTTTTTACTAACGCGTGGTATCGTGATTCTTTTTTAAATTAATAAAAAAATAAATAAATTCTTAACGAGTGCTTACATTATAAAATATACGTTATGTTCTAAAATTAAACTTTCGTTGCCAGGACTAACATTTTTATTGTAGATTGTTATAGATTGGACCTCACGTAACAAATAGTTCGTATGTTGGCAGAGAAGAGTACTATAATTATTAAATCAAAAGTAAAAGTTCGCTCGTGGCGTGTGTCAATGCTATACCCACTGTAATGCAAAGTCCCCGTATTTATGTTGTGTTGTAATTCCATTCTTGCGGAATGCAATACCGAACGTTTCAATCGAAGTGACAATCGGCCGGAGAACGAAACCGATAACACGCATACACTGTGACGATACGAATACGACGCACTCCCTTGTGAATACTAAAGACCGGTAAACCGGTCTTGTGAATCAGGCTCGTATTGCAACAGTTATGCGGACTACAAGGACGTACGTGTTTCATTGTTCAATACAATAATTCGGTAAAACAGATGATTATTTCTCATTTCTAAAATTTGATTTATCAAAGGACGTTTTTATTAAAAAGGTTATAATGATATATGATTATAATCCTAAATAATAATGACATTGATAATAAAAAACCCTAAAAACTAAATATAACCATTATTAAACGACTAGTACAGTAATACATACTACTACTACTACCCATTCGTGTTTCAACCGTGAAGCAGTTGTGTTTGCATGGCTGTGTTTCGGTTTGAAGGGTGGGATATGGCGTGAATTTACTGGGTACAGAGGAATAACACCTGAGTCCTCAGGAATGGCAACGCATGGGGGTATCATGGGCGAAACAGTATACTCTGTTATGTCCATGATACTGCTCATGTCTATAGGCGACGGTTACCACTTTACATCAGGTGGGCCGTCAGCTTGTTTGCCATTCTAAGTTGTATAAAAAAAAATACTAGATTTGTTTCGTTGGTAAGAAATGACGATATTAAATCATAAACAATAACATTGATTATCAAGATCACAAAACACCAGATCTTATATGGTTGCAATGTATTTATGCACAAAAGAAATACCTTCTGAAAATAGAATCTAATTGCATCTTTATATGCAAGCATAACTCCTTAGCGATATATCTTCTATTGTTTATTATGACTATATATTCAATTCGTACTGCTGACGTGCCTTCCAAGCGTGGCAGCTATTGATAAAGCCACCTTTTTATGGCGGGAGGCCTATGTTCATCAGTGGTCAGTAAACGGCTGACATGATGATTCAGTTCCTAATTGAAAGTATTGAGAAAACATTGCGAGAATATTATCATTGTCAATCAATGACATCATCATACTATAGGACCTTATCTCGTATTGGCGTGGACAGTTTTTGGTTTTTTTTAGTACATTTTTGGTACGGAACCCTAACAAACGAATTGAGCACCTCCTTCTTTTGGAGGTAGTTTAAAAATTGATAATTAAAACATAAGAAAATTCTAATGCAATATTTGGGAACGGACGTCCAATTCATATCCGCGACAGAAAATGTAACAATAGGTGACTCATCAAACAGCATTGGATTGCATAAGAAATTGTTGACAAGTCGACAAGTCGGACGTGTCTGGCGTTGTCTTGCGTTGTCTTGCTGCAGCCCACTGACATTGTAAATGTGAAAGTTTGTAAAGATGTTCGGAATTCGGATGTTTGTTGCTCCATTACGCTTAAACGGCAAACGGATTTGACCATACACAACTGGACCACGTCCTAGATTATATATTGTACAGAATGATTTTATCCTCATTTACACGGACAAAGTCGCGGAATACGGTCAGTACATAGTTTGCCTGACTATTTTTAAAAGTTCATTAAGTGAAATACTCATAAGAAGATGAACTTGTTTAAGTACATATGTAAATGTAATAGATTTTATTTTTCGTTTATAATTAATGCTTGAACCTATTGAACCTTTTTATCAATCTTCTTCAAAAATAAGAAGCTTCTCAATTCGGTGTTTTTGATGTTTGTTACCTCATAACTCCGTCAATTCTAAATCTACTATATTTGGAAATACTTTTTTTTTATCTGAAAGGGTATCCTTACAGATCGGTCCCATAAAATTTTTTGTCAAAACCTAGTTTAATTTTAGATTTGGATTTTTGATTGGATTTGTTAAAATTGAAATCGGTTTTTTGGGACACAACATTTAATTATATTTACTACTTTGTATGCGTGGATTAAGTACGTGTAGTGATAGGATTATACATAATACGTATCATATCAGCTTGTAACTGTCCATTGCTGGACATAAGTGTCGCCCTTGGTGGATTTTGCCAGTAGTCGTCACGCTTGTCAGGTGGATTGACAACCGCAGTTAGGCTTTGGAGATGTTTTAAGAGGGACGTTGCTGTCTTCTCTCGCTCTCCCTTAGTCGCTTCTTACGACATCCATGGGAAAGGAAGGGATAACCTATTCTATGCTGGGACCACACGGCAACTTAGTGTATAATTGGAAAATTACAACACGGCGCCTAGATGTGGGATGCTAATGGGTTGTTATGGCTTACTGAATGTGTACATAACATCGATGATAATGTTGCGAAGTGAGCGAGTGCGAGACATGTACGGTGTGGGTCGTGGTGCACAGAGACTTCCGGCCGACGAGCCTGGAGCGCGGCCAGGAGGCGTGGCGGCTGCGCGTGTACATGCTGTACGCGTGGGGCGGGCCGCTCGTGGTGGCCGGCGCGGCCGCGCTGCTCGACCAGCTGCCACCCGCCGCCGCCGGTGCCGGCGCCGCGCCCTTCCTGCGCCCGCGCTTCGCCGTCCAGCGCTGCTGGTTCTACGGTGACATGGAGATCCTCGTCTACTTCTTCGGCCCCGTCGGCGTGCTGCTGCTCGTCAACCTGGCACTCTTTATATCTACCACGCGCCAGCTCACCTGCGGGCTCTGGCGGCGGGACGAGGTCAAGTCCACTTCGGAAAGGTTCGTCGCTTACTTAATGCAACTTAAAAAATGTAATCAACATTTGCTTCTTTTAATGGTGACTTATAGTTTGTTTATTGTATATGGGAGATATCTACACTCAGTAATGAGAAGCTACGGAATGTCATGTGTATTCAATTTAAGACCACAAATTATTACAAGGCCGAAAGAGTTAATAGCTTTTTTAAGTGAATTTTCGTGACTCCCCTGATGGAATTTCTATTAAAAGTGTTGTATGTCCGCGTGCAGGGCGGCGCTGGGGCGCGTGTGTGCCAAGCTGGTGGTGGTGATGGGAGTGACTTGGGGCGCGGACGTGGTGTCGTGGGCGGCCGGCGGGCCCGACTACGTGTGGTACGCGACGGACCTGCTGAACGCGCTGCAGGGCGTGTTCATCTTCCTGGTGGTGGGGTGCCAGCCGCACGCGTGGGCCGCGCTGCGGCGGTGCGCGGCGGCGCGCTGCTGCCGCTGGTGCTGCGGGGCCGCGGCCGCCGCCGACGGCGCCGGCGCCGCCGCGCGCGCCACGCACTCCTCCACGCACCTGCCCTCCTGCGGCGAGTCGCTCACGCACACCACCGCCGCGCCCGCGCCCGCGTCCGCCGCCGCCGCCGCCGCCGCCCCCGCCCCCGCCAAGATCCCCATGGAGACGGTGTGCTGAGTGGTGCGTGCCCGTGCAGTGCAGACTAGTGCCTACTGCCCCGCGAATCCAGCTTTAATGTACTTCTCGTATGTCATACGTGTATTTATTCTACAGTATTATTTTTGTATTTGTGTTTAACGATTACGATAACAGTGTATCGTATGATTGTGTGTAACAGTAGATAGTGATCCGTATCTACGAGTACAGCGAGACTGTCGGCCGCTACGAGAGGCTCTGTGTAGTTCGTTATGTCCGCGAGGCGAAATAGTTGTGTAATTAATGACTAAGTAAGTAGTGACGTGCACTCCGTGCATCCTCACAATGAATGTCGACGAGACTTTCGCTCTTGCCTGTTCGATTGGCTGTTGAATAAAAATTAATGATGTAACGACCGAGTCTCATTGTTCCCGCGTCCACTATGTGAAGGTAGTGCGAGGGGCGGCAGGGTGCTGGCGACGCGGCGCGCGTTTATATCTTTTGTTCGCGCGGCGGCTCTCCCGTCCGCAACATTCGACAGGTGTTGCCGCGCCTGCCTGTGTGTGTATCGACGCGGCGTGCAGCGCGCGCTACGTCAATGGTAAGTGGTCACACACTGGCCGCCGTCCTCCCCCCGCCCCCCGCGGTGCGCGCCACCGGTCCGGTCGCGGCTTTCTCTCGTGTTACGTAAACACTGTGCGCCCAGCACGCTCGCAGTCACGAGTCACGTGAGCCGCATACTCTAACAGGCGTCGCAGGTCGCCGTGAACCAGGCGGTGGCGAATGTGCCCTGCAGCATAATACACATTGGCGAATACATTTTATAGATGTAGACTACACGTGCTCCATGGTTTCGCTCGTTTGAATTAGTTATAACATAAGAAATGTTAAGTAAGGATATAACCTATCTATGCACTAAATTTCATTCAAACCTGTTCGATAGATTTTATATGAAAGGGTAATAAATATCCACCCATACATATTCGCGAACTTTCTCGTTTCTAGTGGTGGTTGCAAGTAGGTTTGTCGCTGCAGGTGTATGCAGGTGCGGTTGTAATTATACAACGATATTTAGCGAGCGAGCCTGCGACCTGAGTAGCAAGCTAGCAGCTTGTGTTGCTATTTCATTTAACTTTGTTCAATGGCTTAAGTTATTTTTATATACCGCGAAGGTAGTAAACAAGCATACAACCCGTCTGATAGGGGTGGAAGAGGAGTTGTTAGTGAAGCGGACTACCAATCCCCATTGCTAGCAATATACCCTGTCAGGTCGACCTCCACGTGGTCCCCCTAGAAACCATCGTGCTGAATGGATGTGGATGTTAGGTGAGAATAAAAAGACAGGTCAGTTAGCCCATCGTGATGAATTCAACAATAAATTAGTCACGATAGTTTCTAGGGAGAACCGCTTGGAGGTCGACCTGATAGGGTATATTGATAGCAATGTGGACTAACCTCTTATTACTAACAATCCCTTCCCCCCGCCCGTTCTGTGCTGGGTGTGTATTGCTGTCGCGGTGCCGTATCCGGCTGTCTGTTGGCACGCGACTGGAGGCGAGCGTTACGTGAATCACGGGATGGTATGGTCGCAGCGCGCTTATGCCTGATTGCGCAATGTTCATGCAATCAATCGCTTCCCATGAACTACCCGTGACATACATACCTGCACCAACTGTCTATCGTCTGACAAATTAACTACCTTTACAGGAGATTAACATATTTTAGTACAGCCGGCGGTTCTTTTTTATTGGGTGATAATGGTATGGTAACTCCGTCCCCGCTATCAGTATACACTGGCGTGGCACCAGTGATAGATGACTGATGAGGATGAACTACTACTACTACATGGTCTTAACAATATCACAGACTGTGTGAAACTGTACCAGTCTTTACTATTATTATAAACTAGTTCTTACCCGTGACATTGTCCGCGTGACCGGGATATGTTTGGTATCGGGGACAAGAAGTTGCCTATTTAAATCTCTATCCTATATGATCGTATAGTGTGTGTAGTGTACCAAATGGCATAGTGACTGGTCAAGCTGTAAAGGCATTGAGAGGTAACAAACAAACAAACTTAAGTAAAAATATTTATATTTACACACACAATATATACACACACACACATATACATGGTACAGGACATATATATATATATATATGTTTATATATATATACATATATATTTTTACATATATACACACACATACATATACAATCAAAAAACGGAACCTTATATAGGATCACTTCGATATATGTCTGTGTGTCGGGATACATATTAATTTTCATAGGAACGCGTGAAGATATCATAAAATAAATAATTATATAATCATAAATAAAGTCTGCAATCTCTGAAATGAAGCAATGAAAAAATAATCTTTAAATCGACGCAATCAAAAGATACGGTCGTTTATGTTCCATTTATATCGCATACTTCGACATTCGCAAAGGGAATCAAAACCTATAGAGTACTTCCCGTTGACCTAGAATCAGGAAATTTGGCAAAAAGCAATGTCATGCAGCACAAGTAAATGGGGGGAAAAACAAAACCCGTAAATTTGTAGTTATTTCATAAAAAAAATTAAACTTGATGTTTTTGTACGGAATCCTCGTAGCGTGAGTTCGACTCGCATTTCACCTGCTTTTTTCCAATGGTCATGTTTGAACTACGGCGAGAGGGTGAAGTGAATTCAAAAAGAAAAGCAGGCAGTAGTCTATATATATCAAGTAATATGATATATCGTTTATACTGTGACATCACAGTTTAGCTTAAGATGTCCTCAGTGCTGTTCAAGTCTGAATGGTTCACCGCTTTCCGTCATTGGTTTGCCATTTCAAGTTGTATAAAAACCGACTGCTAATAATAAATGAGCGGCGATTGTCTTCTCTATTATAACTGTCATTGTTGAGATACAGGTTGTGCTGTATTGAGTAATGGAGTGAGTCATTTGTACTCAACAATGGAGGCATTAGTGAAATGCTGCCAGTGACGCGTCCGATGTTCGTGCAATCGACGCCTCGCTGCAGTACCTAGTAGGTAGGTGTTGGGGGAAAGAGATTATTAGCAATGGAGTTTGACAGCTAATTGATAGCAATATGCCCTATTTTTTTTTTGGGTGATAATGGAATGGTAACCCCACCTGCGCTATCGGTATACACCGGCGGGGCACAAGTGAAGGATGATAGGTGTGGATGAAGCAGGTCAGTTAGCCCATCGTGACGAATTCAACAAGAATTGTTCTCGATGGTTTCCAGGAGGAACCACGTGGAGGTCGACCTAATAGGGCATATTGCTAGCAATGGGGCTGTCAAACTCCATTGCTAACAATCCCTTTCCCCCTAATATGCCCTATTAGATCAACTTCCACGTGGTTCCCCCTGGAAACCATCGTGAACAATTTTTGTTGAATTCGTCACGATGGGCTAATCTGCGTCATCCTCACCTATTATCCTTCTACTCCGCCGGTGTATTCCGATATCGCAGGTGGTGTTACCATTCCTTTATCATCCATTAAAAAAAAGTAGATAGGTGAGGCACGGCGGCACAGCTGTGTCCGTGGTACTTAACGTCACGTCTTTAATATTATGAGTGGATATGTAATAAATAACTTGTAAATACGTGTACGTAGATAAAGGGCTCTGTGTGTAGGGGTTATCGCTCGCCCTGTGCCCTCCGGCCTCGCCGGTCGCGGGCTCTCCGCGGCGCTCTCTGGTGCCGCGCTCCGTCACTCAGCGTGATCACATAGCACGGTCTACAATCTACATTGACAGACCAGATAAGCAGCTCTGTCCGCGACGTACCTACTCGCCTAATAACCGGCGCCGGCTGCATGCATGATTCATTCGGGTGAGCGACTACTATGACTAGCTGCCCATTACTCCTCAGTATCGCATCCCAGATAACGGATATAGGAACTCGTTTAGTTCTTACAATTGGTTGTTTTGTTGTTTATCTCGGTGCGGTGTCCCCGCTCGGGGCGCTCGGGAGCGATGTGTGCGTGTTTGTTGCATGGACACTGGCCCTTTTATCAACCGACTTTCAAAAAGAAGGTTTCGAGTCGCTTGTATTTTTCTACGTTTGTTACCTCATAACCTTATCAGTTGTAAACCAATTTGGAATATTTTTTTTTTTATCTAAAAGAACGTATTTATAGATTGGTCACATAGAAATTTTATCAAAATCGTTCCAGTAGTTTAGTTTTTAAATTAAAATAACTGGTTTTGCCACAAATAGTGGCTAAACTTAATAAAATGGGGAAAAGGGATTGTTAGTAATGGAAATTAGTAACCCTATTGCTAGCAATATACCCTGTCAGGTCGACTTTCTAGTGGTTCCCTCTGGTAACTATCGTGATTGATTTATTATTACATTCGTCACGGTGAGCTAACTGACCCGCTTCATCCCTCACTGATGCCTCGTCAGTGTATGCCGATAGTGTAGGCGGGGTTACCATTCCATTATCACCCAGCAAAAAAACCCTAACAGTAAGTAATGACATGCAGTACAGTGTAGCTCATAGAAGAACAAGTATAATATTATATCAGTTACAACTTATAGAAGGGAGAAGGTATTATTAGTAATGGCTAGTAAATACTAGCAATATACTCTGCTAGCTCGACCTCCACAAGGTTCTCCCTGAAAACCATCGCGATTAGTGCTAATAAATTCGTCACGATGGGCCGACTGACCTCTTTCATCTTGACCTATAATCCGTCACTAGTTCAGGGGGGGTTGCCATTCCATTATCATCTCATATAAATCTATAACCTATAGTTATTTTTCAATATCGAAGTAATTTGCTCGTTTTCAAATTCATTACAGTCGCTATGGTAACTATGAAGTTCGTGCTCAGGATGCTGAGGATACAGGTACATTGCCACCGTGAATAATCTACGTGCTAGAACCGATTTGAATAATATTCGAATAGATAGATAGATAGATAGATATATATAATTTATTTGCATTACTTACAGCACACAAATCACAACCGACGTAGATAGGCATACACAGTAAAAAGAGATAAAAATAAATGCATAAACAAAAAAATACATAAAAGAAAAATATTAATAAAGAGATTGCTTAGCGATAAAGTCGCATTTTGTATCATTTCTCATTACAATTAAATGTATTTACTATTCTATAAATGGTGCAATAAAGTGTAAAATAAAATAAATATATATTTTTTTCCTTTCATGGTCACACACACTATGTCACAAACACAAAATGGTCACAACTCAGTTTATGACTTTTCCCTAAAAAGAATATAATTATTATTAGCAAATTTGGATAAGTTAAGGTAAAATAAGATATTAATATGGAATGTAAAATTGTAGTGGGATATGTCTTAACTGATAAACGGATATTCAATGCAGACCCACACAATGAGTGCTAGGTGCTGGTGAGTCACAGTG